CAAAAGCCTAGAGTAAAATCTTATTAACCGAAAACCTCTGCAAGTATGAAGAGTAGACGAAACCTGATGTGGAATAATCAGCTGCCTCAGACTTTCGTTTTTCCATTCCATCCCCCTTTCAACCCTCCATGCTCTGGAGACGATCTCTTTTCACTACTGTCTCCTAAAGATATAAAAATGTAGCAAGTAAGCGTGATCACCAGTAGTCCTTGGTGACTGGGGATTTCCTCCCTGGACTCTTTCTCTCTCCACACTTTAAAGTCACTAGCAGGATCACAGACAAGGATCTGATCTTTGGCTCTTCCCCTACATATATCATTGGACAAAGTATCCCATTAATAATGGGCTCACAGACCAAAATAACAAAATAAATGTTGGCTGCTCAAGTCCTATAAAAGAAACAGCAAACTGATCAACATATATTACCTAAAGGAGAATTATCAGAATAAACATAACATAAAATAATCCTAATATTTTAAAATAGATAATAAAAGGTATACAAAATATAAATTAAAAACTAGAAACCATAACACAAAAAAGTGGGAATATTAGATATGAATACATAATATTTGATATTTATGAGATTAATATTCTGATGTATATAATTGAACAAAATATGAGCTTAAAGGTGAAGTTGAGGAATTTTGCAAAAAAGCAGCAGAAAAGTTGAAATAAATACATAGAAAATGCAAATGGAAAACTAAGTAATATGAAAGATTGAAGTAAAAACGTGAACATCTACATCTTAGACTTCCCAGGTGAGATGAAAGTAAAAGTGAAAAGGAAGAAAATATGAAGAAATAATGGAAATAAATTTCCCAGAATCAAAAAAAAAATAACTAACAGCATAAAAGAGAAGAAAAAAAAACACCACAAACCTAGACACATACTAAACTTTTAAAATTTATAAGATAAGGAAAAATCCTAAATGATTCCAGAGACAAAGACTAAGTACAAGTTCTCAACAACACTGGATACAAGAATACAATGGAAAAATAGTTTAAGGCACTAAGGAAAACTTCGTATCAGGAATTTTATATCCAAAAAATAAATAAATAAAAATTCAAAACATAAATAATAAAGAATTTTATATCCAAGAAAATCATGACTCAAATGTGAGAGCATAAAAAATATTTGCATGTATACACAGCCTCAGAAGTTTTTTTTTCTATTGTTTTATTATGTTATGTTAATCACCATACATTATATCATTAGTTTTTGATGTAGTGTTCCATGATTCTTTGTTTGCATATAACACCCAGTGCTCCATGCAGAATGTGCCCTCTTTAATACCCAACACCAGGCTAACCCATCCTCCCACCCCCCCTCCCCTCTAGAACCCTCAGTTTGTTTTTCAGAGTCGATAGTCTCTCATGGTTCATCTCCCCTTCCGATTTCCCCCCCTTCATTCTTCCCCTCCTGTTATTTTCTTCTTTTTTTTTTTTTAACATATACTGTATTATTTGCTTCAGAGGTACAGATCTGTGATTCAACAGTCTTGCACACTTCACAGCGCTCACCATTTGCTAGACAAGAGCCCTATGCTGAAAACCATTCAAGAGAAAATCTGCAAACAAAAAAGAGAAATAAACCAGGGTATGCTATAAAATATATGAAAGCAAGGATGATTTAAAGGATTAGTGCTATTTATGGATTTCTTTAAATAAAATGTCTAAAATCAAAGAAACTTGCAAAAGTATGATTTTGTATCAGGCAAGGTAATCAAAACCACATTGTAATTTGAAGAGGGAAAGTTTAATATAAAGTATTATAGACAAAAACAGGAGATTGGGATGATGAGAGATATTTATTTATTTATTTATTTATTTATTTATTTATTTATTTAAAAATAAATCACGACCTGAGCCGAAGGCAGACGCTTTACCAACTGAGCCACCCAGGCTCCCATGAGATATTATTTAATACAGAATAAAAAGAACTCTAAAAAATATAAGAATAGCAGGACTATGAAGTAGACACTATCCACCGGCTGAAATAGTGCACCAAGGAAAAGACAGATCTGAAGTACAGCCAAAGAAAGAACTCCTCAATGCTGAGTACTGAACTTTGTTGGAGAGGAAGAAACCCTGGCTCACTGGATGATAGAGAAGTTCACTCAGGCTTTGAAATCAGGTGACAAGGGAAGGTGCTGGGCTGGTGGCACTCTTGTTGGGAAGCACCTCAGAAGGTGTTGGGGAAAATCATCCACAAGAAGTTGCCAAGTGTTGCTAGCTATTGGGCACCACAGAAGCCTACCAGTGCAGAAGCACATGCACTGCTGAAGACGGATGCTTAACAGATCATGCAAACTGCAGAAATCAGGCACCGGAGGAGCCCAGGACTGCGGAAACCACATCTGCTGAAAGAGACTACCTAGAGGAGCACCTTAGAACCAAGAAGAGAAATTTGTTCCTTCTCCAATGTTCCTCTAGAACTCTTTATTAGAAAAGCTTAACATCCTGGCAAAGGATAAAAATTCATAGACACCAGCTCCACAAGGCAAAATAGCCAATGAAGGATAGATTTGGAAGGTATTGAATTGGTAACCAGCACAAACCTCAGTAACTCATTACTCAAAAATATATATATATATATGGGAAGGGGGATAGATGTAGGAGAGACTAAACATATATAAGAAATTTCTGAAGTACCTGCCTTATTAGATGGAAGATGTGGGAAGTCTAAGCTATCACAGGAATAAATAAACATGAGTATGTCTTAGGTTAAAGCAACAATCATAAGACAAAACAGAATGTATATATTTTAAATCAGATGAATAAAACTTTCAGAAATTACAATAATTGGGGCGCCTGGGTGGCTCAGTTGGTTAAGCAACTGCCTTCGGCTCAGGTCATGATCCTGGAGTCCCTGGATCGAGTCCCGCATCGGGCTACCTGCTCGGCAGGGAGTCTGCTTCTCCCTCTCCCACTCCCCGTTTGTGTTCCCTCTCTCGCTGTGTCTTTCTCTGTCAAATAAATAAATAAAATCTTAAAAAAAAAAAAAGAAATTACAATAATTGTAAATGCATTAAACTTAACAAATGAGAGGAACTGTTAAACTAGCTGATAAAAAAGGAAAAAATCTAGGAATGTGTTGTCCATACTTAAATAAAAAGTTTGAAAAAAGAAAATTTGAAATGAGATATAGCTTGAGATGAGATAAAGCAATAAATATGAACCAAAGAAAAGCTCCCCGCAAGTAGCAATTTTATATCTATCAAAATTAGATTTAAGGAAAAATAAAATCAGAAGGTACTGTGAGGGACATTATATATTTTAAAAGAAATATAAAGCAGGAAGATATGCCCATTGTCAATACATAGTCATTAAAATTATACAAACAAAAGTGGAAATAAATTACAATGCTAAATAAATATTAACTGACAGATGTTGCAGAGGAAAACAAAACAAGAATATCAAACACTTGTACAATGAAATGAATAAGCTCAAATTACATGTATGCGGCAGGGGGTGGGGGTGTGGAGGGGCCAGGAAGGATACTGGTGCAAGAATGAACAGAAGCCCACTGATAGGAAACAAAGAGTTCAGAGATGGAACAATGTATATATGAGACTTTAACAGACCATATAAGTGGCACCACATATCAAGGGGGTTTAAAAAGACTGTTAGTGGAAGGGGCTAAGAAAATTAAAGTTTAAAAAAAAACACAAAACTTGGATCTGTAAGGAAAACTACATGCAAAGTTAGAATACAGATAGTTTGCTGATACACTTATAAAAGGTCAAACTATAAAATTAACAGAAGAATCAAATTTGGGCTTGGAAGAAATATCTTAAAGCAAACTGCAAAAGCATAAATCACAAGGAAAAGAAGTTGAAGTTTATCAGTGCAACATTAAGAAATAAAGGATACTATGGACAGAGTTATAGATGAGATAATGAAAGAAAATATTTATAATGTCTAAAACTGGTAAGGAACTGTATCTAGGTTTATACAAAAAAATTCCAGGAAATCAACAAGACTAGGATAGCAACTATAATTTTTAAAAATGAGAAAGGGGGGTGCCTGGGTGGCTCAGTCGTTAAGCGTCTGCCTTCGGCTCAGGTCATGATCCCAGAGTCCTGGGATCGAGCCCCAAATCCAGCTCCCTGCTCTATGGGAAGCCTGCTTCTCCCTCTCCCACTGCCCCTGCTTGTGTTCCCTCTCTCGCTGTCTCTCTCTCTGTCAAATAAATAAAATCTTTAAAAAAAAAAAAAATGAGAAAAGGAAATGAACAAGCAATTTACAAACTAAAGGCATACTAAAAAAAACCTTGAAGTCATTGATAATGAGATAGATACAAATTGAAACAATGATATAATATAACTTCATACCCATTTGTTTGGCAAAATGTAAAGACCAGCTGTCGGCAGAAATGTGAGGATATGCACTATCTGGTGGCATCATAGTGTGTTACAACCATTCTGGGAGAGTAATCTGGCAGTATTTAGTCAGTTAAGTACATGCCTCAGATCCAGCAATCCCACCTCTGTGTATGTGTCTAAGGAAACATGTTAAAAAGATATTTATCAAAGCATTATTTGTGGTATCAGGGAGGCAGAGGCAATCTTGATTCTATCACTGGGAGAGTGGACATACAAAATTCGGTTGATGATGACCAAGAAGTGTGCTACTGTAATAAAATACAACTGATTTAATCTATACATAATAACATGGATGAATCTCTTATACGGAGCTGTTCACCAGGAGCTTTGCTGTCAAAGCAAAAGAAAGTTCATTCTATTTAAAATATGAATTTTATCCTCTGGAAATGCCTCAGAGCCTGTCAGAGGTTAGCCTTGAGGGTAATGAGGCAATCACTGAGAGCAATGACCTTTTCAGGGAAGCTCTGCCCAACTCTGAGCTCCCTTTGGAGGCCTTGGGGTGGAGCTTGTTTGCAAATAGCAGCCACATAAAACCTGGTAAATTTAAGACGTCTCAGGGACCAGGTTGAAGGCAGGGAGTTGGGCACAATACAGTGCCTGAGATTTGTCCCTCACTATGGAGAAAGGCAGACTTCCTCATTCATGTTTCATGCTACTTCTCCTTGTCCTGCTTTCTACCGATGCTTCAGACCCTGCAGAACGGTCTCTCTTAAAGTCCCCTCCTCAAGAGTCTGTGCTTTATCTCCATCTCTTCTTTATATCTTTGCTTTAACTTTCCCATTAAATGCTACCCTTCCTGTTTCTTAAGATACCTTCCAATCTTGGGCGCCTGGGTGGCTCAGTTAGTTAAGCGACTGCCTTCGGCTCAGGTCATAATCCTGGAGTCCCGGGATCGAGTCCCGCATCGGGCTCCTTGCTCAGCGAGGAGTCTGCTTCTCCCTCTGACCCTCCCCACCTCATGCTTTCTCTCTCTCTCAAATAAATAAATAAAATCTTTAAAAAAAAAAAAAGATACCTTCCAATCTTAAGAGACTAATTATAAGCTATTTTTTCTTTCACTTTTTTCTACATTTTCACTTTTTTTCATTGCGTCATCATAATCATAAATAGAATAAATAGTCACTAGAAGGCGTGATTTGATTAGACACTGAAACCTCAATCCCACCTTCACGGAATCTTTCTTTAGGATGGAAAGCATTGACTATAAAAATAGTTACAGCACATAGTGGGGTGCAGTTTAATTCATATTGTAGATCACACATATAGAAGTATATAGCTCCTTTGTTTTTCAATAACTTACTGAGTCTTCAGCAAGAGACCCCAGTAACGGGCCAGTTGGGCAGGGGTGCAGGGAGTAATTGAAAACTATTCAGTTAAAGTTGGTAAGATCCAATAATCGTAAGATTTCTCTTCCACCTCTCCCCAGTTCCTCCCCAAGAGAGGACCTAGAAGGTTGTGATCTCCATTCCTTCCTAGTGGAGAAAAAGGCTCAGAGTCTTTGCTCTGAGAATTCTTCGTCTTCCTTGGCCATTGTTAATCTGGCTTCTTCTCACCTGCCAGCCTTCATCATTTGAATCTTCAGCCATCTGGTTTGTCTCAGCTCGGTCCCTTGATCAACAGTCCCAGAAGCCCTCTCTGGCTGACTCCGATTCACCTCAGCTCTTTTTTATCCTATAGAGCCCCCAACTTGCCACAGCATCCTGCCTCCAATCCTGCGACTATTCTAATACAAACTGTATTGCAGAGTCACCTTTCCCCCTTTGTAGTTCAGACCCCTACCCACTGTGCACTCCTGCCTTGAATGTAGCTACATTCCAGATTGATACAGGCAGCCTCGAGAGTCCTAAATGTGCAGAGGGATCAAAGGATCCCTTTCTCTTTGTGTGAGCTTAATCCACTTAATACAATTGGGCCTCTCCACGACAGAGTGCAGGAAGCAGAAATCAGAACTGTGACCAACTCGCTTTCCTTTCTTCTTCAAATTTCTTCAATGCACAATTTCCCAGTAATCAGTAGGGATACATTTTTCTGCCATCCTTCCTCTATCTCATGTACAACTGTGGATGGTAGCACCTCCCATTGCATTCCACCCAAAGAGCATCTGGAAATATGTAGGGGTTGTTCAGATTTCTGAAGGCTGAATGGATGAAGCAAGCAGCATTCATTGGAGTTGGAAATGTTAAGCAGTCTGTGTTTTCAGTTCAACACAACATTATGCCCACTGAAAACATTATTTTACATCGCATCCAACATCTGTTAAAAAACAATAAACTTCATGGCCTAGTTGTCATGAACAGAAGAGGTATCTTCTCACTATGCAGAAAACATCCCCTATCCCTCCAGCATTATTAGCCTTTGATGTGATAAATGAGATATATTGCCCAAAAGACCCAGTAACTGTCCTCCTCTGCCTTCAGAGAGAGGGAGGTGGGAGGGGAACATGAAAAAGAGAAAATTAAGAGTCATCTGTTTAATATTTGCAAACTTTAGTCACTCCTACAAAAGCAAATATTTAAAATGCAAACATCCATGGTTAAGTAATATTTTAATAGTTTAATTGCTCACTTACAGACGAAATCTTGAGCAAATTACTCAATCTTGATGGGTTCCAATTTCAATATTTATTAAATGATACTAACCAAACCTTTATGAAATAACTGTTTGAAACATCTAATATACATGGAATTAATTTTTAAATTATGACATCAATTAGGCTTATAACTAATAAGAATAAAAATAGTATATTGAATAAAATTATAATACACTGATGAAGATCAAAGAACTAGAGGGAAAAAAGTATGGATGGGGAGGTGAAAAATGATAATTTTTGTCACTTAACCATATTTTTGAAAGAGTAGATGATTCAGATAAAAAATATCCAGATGCCAGAAAGGGATTAAATGAGAGGTACTATCTGAATGATTACGGGTAGATTATTTAAATACTCTGAGCTTCTCTGCTTTAGAACAAAACCTTAGCATTTATACAATTTAAAAATCTGAGATTTTAACTTTTGAAGGGTGGATCTAAAGATTCATGGCATATAGTTTTGCTAAGGAACAACTTAAAACACATACAACATGATGAATGGGCTGCAGCAGACCACTTGGAGAATGAGAGAACCAAACTTGACTTCCAGTTTCCACAACTAAACTGTTACTCTCTTCTCCTAGTCTCATACCTATTAACTTTGAAAAGTAATAAAATAGTTTTTCATGGGTCAAATTGCCTGCTTTTTTTTAAGTGTAAGAGCCCATGTTGGAAGTAGAAGGGAAAGGATAGTAAAACAATATAAGAAAATAATAACTCTCTTTTTCTTAATTGTAAATTAATTCTATAAATAAATGACAAACCTGCAGCTATTGAATCATTAAAGTTTTGAGGAGTCACATTTTATGTGTGATCTACTGATTTAGTGAGTAGGCAGGGACTTTACCTTACTGTTGTATATTCGAATTTGGAGACTGGCGAGGACCTCATGTTTTAGCTGTCATGAACATGAAGAATATGATGTATGTATCATATAGGATTGCTAGGAGGATTAATACAGAGACTGCTTAACACATTTCCTTGCAAGTAGTAAATATGTAGGAAACACATTCTCTTTCAGCCCATAGGGATTCAGAGTATGGAGAGATTATACTGAGTTGACTGCTTCAGGAAAGTTTTTGTGTCAAAGGGGTCACTTGGGATGGTTCCCAAAAAATGGGTAGAATTCTGTTTGGAAATATGCGGGGGTGGGGAGTAGGATATGCAAGAATATAATAGATAAAGGAAACTTATCAACCAAGTCAAGAAAGTAAACTCACAGGGGCACCTGGCTGGCTCAGCTGGTAGAGCATGCGACTTTTGATCTTGGGGTTGTAAGTTCAAGTCCCACATTGGGTGCAGAGATTACATAAAGCTAAAATCTTTAAAAAAAAAAAAGAAAGAAAGAAAGAAAACTCACACAAAAGATTGTCTATACCTCTGAATAATTAAATATATTCAATAATTAGAATAAAAATGACTTTGCAAAATAATATATTTTATGCGAACTTGTTTTTTTAGTAAGTGAAGATAATTTATCCACCCGTATGGGTTTGACACAAGCATATATTTTTGAACATAGAAGTATTAATATTAATATTGATTACCTCAAGAGGGTGGGAATGAAGGAGAATGTTAATCAAATGCACTGTGTACTTGTGTGTGCTTGCAAATTATTGACAGAAATAAAAACTTGTTGTTAAAAAAATTATTGATTTTGGCTAAGGCATATCTGAGAAACCTTAGAGAAAGAGCAAATATATTGTTTTCAGTGTTGCTGTTATAAAGAAAATTATTTTACAATATAGACATGAGTTATTTTATGTAATGGATATATGTTCACTGAAGTTTTTTCAGTTGAATTTATATAAATTCAGTTGTGGTGCCCATGTACCAGTGATGTTTATTTAGACAGATTTTAATGTAAATCTTTTTATAAAGTGAATAGTCACCAGCAATTTATTATATATGTGCACTTTTGTGGATATATATTCAGGAAGTCAGATATTAATGCTCTATAACACAAAGAATGCCTATGAAATTGTTAACAGCCTTGAAGCCAACTTCCGGCAGACTGACTGTGTGGGTGAGGCACTACTCGGGAGTAAAAAATATAATTCTCAGGCCGAGCAGTGATAGAACTTCCATCTTCATGTTCTTAGTCCGTTGACATTTGCTGTAGAACCAAATGTAGCAAGAAATACATATTGTTATGAAAAGCACATTTATGGTTGAAAATGCTTGCTATCCTCCATTTTTCTCTGATTTAGCCTTCTTCTCTTCCCAGGCAGTATGTGGTGCTTGTCCCCTCCCTGTTGCACACTGGGACCCCTGAGAAGGGCTGCCTCCTTCTGAGCTACCCGAATGAGACAGTGACTGTAAGTGCTTCCTTGGAGTCCCTCGGGGGAAACCAGAGCCTCTTCACTGACCTGGTGGTGCAGAAGGACTTATTCCATTGCGTCTCCTTCACTGTGAGTACTATCTGCCTGTCCTTGTTTGATACATTGTATTGAGTCATGGTGATGGGGAACTGGTGTTGAATCCCAAAGAATGACTTTAATGTTAGTGAGGACTTCATGAAGTACTAAACAGAGTGGGTTTTCAGCTATGAAGGAACAAAGCATGGATTTTCCACCAACATAGGAGAGAAATATTTTACTATGTGCTAAAATCCAATTTAAGTTCTTTAAAAAAAAATCCTGTTAGCCATAGAAAACATATGAGCTAGATTCTCTAGCTTTGATATGTAACCATCTCTTTCAGGCCAGAGTAGGACAGTGCCTAAAAAGAGATTATACAAAAATCTCATGGAAGGACAGCATGTAGCAGAATTTTTCTCCTGTGGTGAGACGTTAGGCGTCTTTGTCCTGTGAATGTGTAAATGGTGCAAGATACTCAAAGCAAACATCCAGTACCTCTTAATGAGGTTGCCCAGCTTGGGATACTCAGCTATCATGTTCTCCCACGTTTTTACAGATAGACTTCGTTCCATTCCTTCACACTATATATACTCTGTTAAAAGGAGAATGATTTAAGAACTAGAGATCCTGGTAAGCTATATGGAGATTTGGGTCCCACTGATGGTTGCTCTCACTGATATTTTTCTCCTATGTCTTACATTATTATCTTCACTCATATCTGGAGAAATATTTACACTTACCTAGTTCTTTGTGAAGCTGAAAGAGAGGTAGAAAACAGTAATGGATGAAAGATTGGGAGGGAGAAGATTGTGTGGCTCCTCAGCAGTGTTCTTTGTTCCTTAGCTCCCAAGGATCTCGTCCTCTTCAGAGGTGGCATTCCTTACTGTCCAGATAAAGGGACCAACACAAGACTTTAGGAAGAAGAACACAGTGCTGGTAAAGAATGCTCAAAGTCTGGTCTTTGTCCAGACAGACAAACCCATCTATAAACCAGGACAGACAGGTATGTCGGGAAATTCCTCTATTTCCGTCAGTGGGGGCAGTACTGAGAAGGAGAGGGCACCCTTCAGCAGGTTTTGCAGAGTAAACTTGCAAAATCCCCATCTCTTAGCTTCCTGACTTAGCACACACATTCCCTGCTTTATCATGTCTGAGTCTTACCAGGGAATCTCTTTTTCAGTAAAATTCCGTATTGTCTCTGTGGATGAGAATTTTCACCCCTTGAATGAACTGGTAGGTATCTCGAGAGTTATGATTTTGGTGGGGGGTGGGAGTACTCACCCTAGTGGGAGCAGGAAAGTCCAGGAAAAGCAAGAAGATGAAGAACATTCCTTTTGGAACCTGGGCTCCAGCAGCACCACAGGTCTAGAGTCTTATGTAAGGCATAATTGAAGGGTGAGAGATGAGGAAGCTATTTCTCTTATAATAGTAATTAATCATTCGACAATAGCTAGATTTATTGCTGTGAACACAATACATTAAACATGAAGAGACACAATAAAAAAGTTAGGAGCTATCCATACCCATACTTCCAAGGAGTTTATGATTAATTAAACCACAAAGGGTTTCGTTGATTCTGAATATATCTAGCCATCTATCTATATAGTAGAAAAATTGCAATATGGTAATAAATACATATATGTATATTTTATATACATATAATCTATAATATATATTAATATATAACATAGATATAATATAGGATATATATTATATACAAAGATTTTGTTTTTGCTGATTGAGTGTCCCTTCCTCTAACTAGTGTTTAACAAGACAAAGAAATAAAGCTACTTTAAAAATGCAATTTTTAAATTAGAAAAAATATTCTTGGTTAACTATTAACCAAATCATTCTGACAACTCTATTGCGCTTTGGTCTAAATTATAATAACATATCACTCTATTAATATCCATTTTCTGGGGTGCCTGGGTGGCTCAGTCAGTTAAGCGACTGCCTTCAGTTCAGTTCATGATCCCCGAGTCCTGGGCTCAAGCCCCCCATCGGACCCCCTGCTCAGTGGGGGGCCTGCTTCTCCCTCTCCCTCTGCTGTTCCCTCTGCTTGTGCTCTCTCTCTCTGTCAAATAAATAAATAAATAAATCTTTTTTAAAAATAATCCATTTCCTAATATATGCAAGTAAAGAGTATAGTCATATTCTTTATTAAGAAGACTTCAGTACCTACATATTAGTGGTAAATAATATTAATAAATTAGTAAATATTAATAAAACTTATTCACCAATAATATTTCTCAGGGAAATGGCAACACAATGATTGTTGTGGAAATATTTATGCTTTTCTTAGAACTATTTACCGGTTTCCCTAAGTAATTCTAGTTCTTTAATGTTTCAGGTTAAATTTTGTTATATCTTACTACAGATACTATTTTTCCTGAATAAACTATTGGATCATAAGTCTGAAATCACAGCCTTTGGTGAAATTCTAATCACATCTCTTCTTTCCTTTTTTCATATAGATTCCACTGGTATACCTTGAGGTAAGCAACAGAAAGAGCCTTACAGAAGGAAATCAGCACATTTAAGGTTAGAAGTTCTGATAGTCCTTACAGATGAATTACTATTAAAAAAAAAAACAACTTTCAGATCTAAAATTTCCTACTCCCAGGTATCAGGTTTATTCTGTTTTCCCTCTTCTGCATTTATCTCTTCAGAAGGCAAGAATCAGTTATCAACTCCAAAGTCATTTGTTTGGTTCAAGGACTATCATGGCTACATAATTATTCCCCCATGCTCCTTGATTACCTCTAGGACCCAAAAAGAAATCGAGTTGGACAATGGCAGAGTCTCAGGTTGGAGAGTGGCCTCCAACAGCTGGCCTTTCCCCTCTCGTCTGAGCCCATTCAGGGTTCTTACAAGGTGGTGGTACAGAATGAATTGGGCGAAAGGATAGAACACCCCTTCACCGTAGAAGAATTTGGTATGGCTTCTGAAAAATGAAAAGGACATAACTTTTTGTTTCACTCCGTGCACTCACTTAGGCTTTCTGAATCTCCCATTGGTATGTTGAACTTGGATTAGAATCAGTTTGAGCTGTTTGTAAAGTCATCACAATTCTGTGCTCCAGAAGCTCACAAGAGCTTGATTTTCAGTAGCAAGTTACACTTTGCCGAGTATCAAAATTCTTATTTCAGTGGAGCCATCATCCTTTGTTAGTGTCATTGAGATCTGCTGTGATCACAAAGGCAATTAAATTTTGTGTGAATTGTTAAAACTTATCATCTTAAAGCTGGCACTTGAAAAATGGATCCAGCTTTTCAGGGTATTATTTTGGGAAAAGTTATAAACATGAAATATTTGTATTTCCTTTAAATGTTCACCAGCCTCCCTATTATCTCTATCAACAGTGCTTCCCAAGTTTGAGGTCAAAGTTCAGGTGCCAAAGATAATCAGTATCCTGGATGAAAAAGTGAACATATCAGTATGTGGGATGTGAGTTAAATTGCTTTTGTCTGAAATTTCATATTTTGCCTCAATTTTGAGTCATTATTTGGCTAGGTACATAATCATAAATTAATTTTCCACAGAATTAAAAAATTACTTCAATGACTTATTTCAACCGCTTATTATTAAAATTTTCAAATATACAAAAGAATAGAGGACACCCATAATCATGATTTTAACAATTGACATCTTTCTATATTTGCTACATCATTTTTTGTTTTTGCTTTAACATTTCAGGATAAATTACAAAGATCATGACATTTTACCCTAGATGCAGTACTATGTACCTCTAAAAATTACTGACATTTTCCTACGTAGTCATGATGCCATTATGACACTTTACAAAATTAAAAGTAATTTTCCAATACTAATTCTTATTTTACACTCAAATTCCCTCGATTTTTCTAAAAATGCTGTTTACTCATTGCTTTTGATTATTATGACTCACATGTACCCTTTTTTTCCAACTCTCTACAATGGAAATTTTCAATTGAATGCAAAAGTTAACAAAATAGTAAAATGAAAATCCATGTACCCATCACCCATGACAAAAATTTTGAAATTTTGCCAATTTTGTTCCATTTATTCTCCCCCCTTCCAATTTTTTTCTCCAATATTTCTGAACAAGCCATGGGAATCCATAAATATCTTAAAGTTTTAAAAGTCTTTAGCCTCCTTTTCTCCCTGTGATGTTAACTTATTAAAGAGCATAGGTCAGTTGGCCTGCAAATGTCCCATTTGCTGGATTTGCCTGATTACTTCCTAATGGTACATTGAATTGATTAATTTTAATTTCTCCTCTGGCCAATTTTAAGAGGATACCTGGAGTATTTTGCATAGATAGATCATAGATCCTCTTGGTGCAGTGTAAGAACAGATTTTTAAAACCTGAAATAATCTCTATTTTTAATTTTTTGAGAAACCTCTGTGCTGTCTTTCATAGTGTCTGCACCATTTTACATTTCCATCAACAACATGCATAATGACCAGTATCATAAAGCTTTCCCCCTATATTTTTGATAGAAATTTTATAATTTTATAATTTCAGGTCTTATATTTAAGTCTTTAATCTATTTTGAGTCAATTTTTGCGTATGGTATAATATAAAGGTTCAATTTCATTCTTTTGCATATAGATATCCAGTTTTCCCAACACTTTTGTTGAAGATACTATCCTTTCCTCACAGTGTGTTCTTGGCACCCTTGTCAAAGACAATATACATAAATGAATTTATTTCTGGGCTTTGTTCCATTGATCTACATATCCATCTTCATGCCAAGGCCATATTGTATAAACCAGGGAGTGTGGTGGCTCCAGCTTTTCCTTTTTTCTCAAGATTGTTTTGAGTATTTAGTGTCCTTTGTTGTTCCATATGAATTTTAAGGTTATTTTTTCTATTCCTGTAAAGAATGCCATTAGGATTTTGATAGGGATTGCACTGAATCTGGAGATTGCTTTGGGTAGTATGGATATTTTAATATTGTCTTCCAATCCATGAACATAGGGTGTCTTTCCATTTATTTGTGACTACTTTCTTTCATTGATGTTTTGTAGTTTTCAGCGTACAAGTCTTTTACCTCCTTGGCTAAGTGTATTACTAAGTCTTTTATTCTTTTTGTTGTTATTGTACATAGGATTGTTTTCTTCATTTATTTTTCATACAGTTCATTGTTAGTGTGCAGAAACACAGCTGGGTTTGTATGTTGATTTTTTATCCTGCAACTTTATGGGATTGGTTTATTAGTTCTAATAGATTTGTGTGTGTGTGTGAAGTCATTAGAGGGGTTTCTATATATAATATTATGTCCTATGCAAATAGTGATAGTTTTACTTCTTTCCTGACTTGGGTGACTTATTTTTTGGTATGCGTTCCTTTTTTTATTTAAGTATAGGTGACACATAATGTGACATTAGTTTCAGGTGTACAACATAGAGATTCAACAAGTTTATATGTTATGCTGTGCTCAGTCCAAGTGTAGCTACCATCTGTCACCATATAACACAATTACAATGTTTTTGACTATATTCCTTATGCTGTACCTTTTATTCCCATGACTTATTCATTCCATAACTGGAAGCCTGTGTCTCCCATTTCCTTTCACCCATTTTATCCATCCCCTCTGAAAATCATCACTTGGTTCTCTGCATTTGTAAGTCTGATTCTGCCTGTTTGTTTATTCATTTTTTGTTTTTCAGATTCCATATATAAGTGAAATTATACAGTATCTGTCTTTCTCTGTCTGATTTATTTCATTTAGCATAATACCCTCTAGGTTCAACCATGTTGTCGCAAATGGCAAGACCTCATCTTTTTTATGGTTCAGTCATATTCCACTGTATATATATATGCCACATCTTCTTTATTCATCTATCGGTGGACACTTGGGTTGCTTCCATACCTTGGTTATTGTAAAAAATGTTGCAATAAACATGGTGGTGCATATATCTTTTCAAATTAGTATTATCATTTTCTTTGGATAAATATTCAGTTAGTGGAATTATTGGGTCATATGGTAATTCCATTTTTAATTTTTTGAAAAACCTCCATAGTTTTCCACAGTGGCTATACCAATTTACATTCCCACCAACAGTGCACAAGGATTCCTTTTCCTCCACATCTTTGCTGACACTGGGGTATAATATTCTATATATGCCTCTTAAGTCCATGCAGTCTCTAAGGTTGTTCAGTCTGTTTCCTTATTGAATTTCTGTCTGGATATTCTATCTATTATTGACAGTGGGGTACTGAAATCTCCTGCTATTATTGTGTTGTTGTCTGTTTCTCCTTTCTGTTCCATCAGTGTTTGTTTCATATATTTAGGTGCTTTGATGCTAGGTGCATATGTATTTATAATTGCTATATCTTCTTGGTGAATTGACCCTTTTATCATTATATAATTTCTTCTTTGCCTCTTGTGACAGTTCTTGACTTAAAGTCAATTTTGTGTGATGTTAGTATAACCACCCCTGATCTTTTTTGGTAACCATTTTTATTTTTTCTATCTCTTCACTTTCGGACTATATGTGTCTTTATTTTTTTTTATTTTGTTTTATTATATTGTGTTTGTCACCATACAATACATCATTAATTTTTGATGTGGTGATCCATGATTCATTGTTTTCATATAACACCAAGTGGTCCATGCAGGACGTGCCCTCCTTAATACCCATCACCAGGTTAAGCCATCCCCCAACCACCTTCCCCTCTAAAACTCTTAGTTTGTTTCTTTATTTTTTTTGTTTATTTTTTTAACTATGTTATGTTAATCACCATACATTACATCATTAGTTTTTGATGCGGTGATCCATGATTCATTGTTTGCGTATACCACCCAGTGCTCCATGCAGTACGTGCCCTCTTTAATACCCATCACCAGGCTAACCCATCCTCCCACCCACCTCCCCTCTGGAACCCTCAGTTTGTTTCTCAGAGTCCATGGTCTCTCATGGTTCGTCTCCCCCTCTGATTTCCCCCCCTTCATTTTTCCCTTCCTGCTATCTTCTTCTTTTTTTTTTTTTAACATATAATGTATTATTTGTTTCAGAGGTACCTCTGAAATGCAGCAATTCAGCAGTCTTACACAATTCACAGTGCTCACCATAACACATACTCTCCCCAATGTCTATCACCCAGTCACCCCATCTTAGTTTGTTTCTCAGAGTCCATAGTCTCTCATGGTTCATCTCTCCCTCCGATTCCCGCCCCCTTCATTTTGCCCTTCCTTCTCCTAATGTCCTCCATGCTATTCCTCACGTACCACAAATAAGTGAAACCATAATTGACTTTCTCTGCTTGACTTATTTCACTTAGCATAATCTCCTCCAGTCCCATCCATGTTGATGTAAAAGTTGGGTATTCATCTTTTCTGATGGCTGAGTAATACTCCATTGCATATATGGACCACATCGTCTTTATCCATTCATCTGTTGTAGGGCATCTTGGCTCTTTCCACAGTTTGGTTATTGCAGACATTGCTGCTATGAACATTGGGGTGCATATGGCCCTTCTTTTCACTAAATCTGTGTCTTTGGAGTAAATACCCAGGAGTGCAATTGCTGGGTCATAGGGTAGCTCTATTTTTAATTTTTTGAGGCACCTCCACACTGTTTTCCAAAGTGTCTGTACCAACTTCCATTCCCACCAACAGTGTAAGAGGGTTCCCCTTTCTCCACCACCTCTCCAACATTTGTTGTTTCTTGCCCTGTCCATTTTGGCCATTCTAACTGGTGTAAGGTGGTATATCAACGTGTTTTTTATTTGAATTTCCCTGATGGCTAATGATGATGCACATTTTTTCATGTGTCTGTTAGCCATTTCTGTCTTCTTCAGAGAAGTGTCTGTTCATGTCTTCTGCCCATTCTTTGACTTGATTATTTGTTTTTGGGGTGTTGAGTTTGAGAAGTTCTTTATAGATTTTGGATACCAGCCCTTTATCTGTAGTGTCATTTGCAAATATCTTCTCCCATTCTGTGGGTTGCCTCTTTGTTTTGTTGACTGTTTCCTTTGCTGTGCAGAAACTTTTTATGTTAATAAGAGGAGAGAGAAGAAACATATGGTCCTCTCAATTGATGCAGAAAAAGCATTTGACAAAATACAGAATCCTTTCCTGATTAAAACTCTTCAACGTATAGGGATAGAAGGAACATTCGTCAAGTTCATAAAATCCATCTATGAAAAACCCACAGCGAATACCATCCTCAATGGGGAAAAGCTGAGTGTCTTTCCCTTAAGATCAGGAACACGTCAGGGATGCCCACTGTCACCACTATTGTTCAACATAGTACTAGAAGTCCTAGCAACAGCAATCAGACAACAAAAAGAAATAAAAGGTCTTCAAATTGGCAAAGAAGTCAAACTCTCTCTTTTCGCAGATGACATGATACTTTATGTGGAAAACCCAAAAGACTCCACCCCCAAATTACTAGAACTCATCCAGCAATTCAGTAATGTGGCAGGATATAAAATCAATACACAGAAATCAGTTGCTTTCTTATACACTAACAATGCAACTGTAGAAAGAGAAATTAGAGAAACGATTCCATTTACAATAGCACCAAAAACCATAAGATACCTCGGAATAAACCTAACCAAAGAGTAAAGGTTTATACTCTAGGAACTACAGAACACTCATGAAAGAAATTGAAGAAGACACAAAAAGATGGAAAAATATTCCATGCTCATGGTTCGGAAGAATAAACATTGTTAAATTGTCTATCCTATCCAGAGCAATCTATACCTTCAATGCCATCCTGATCAAAATTGCAATGACATTTTTCAAAGTGCTGGAACAAACAATCCTAAAATTTGTATGGAATCAGAAAAGACCCTGAATCACCAAGGAGATGTTGAAAAAGAAAAACAAAGCTGGGGGCATCACGTTGCCCAATTTCAAGCTATATTACAAAGCTGTGATCACCAAGACAGCATGGTACTGGCACAGAAACAGACATATAGGCCAATGGAACAGAATAGAGAGCACAGATATGGACCCTCAACTCTATGGTCAAATAATCTTCGACAAAGCAGGAAAGAATAGCCAATGGAAAAAAGACAGTCTCTTCAATAAATGGTGCTGGGAAAATTGGACAGCCACATGCAGAAGAATGAAACTCGACCATTCTCTAACACCATACACAAAGATAAACTCAAAGTGGATGAAAGACCTCAGTGTGAGACAGGAATCTATCCAAATCCTAGAGGAGAGCATAGGCAATAACCTCTTTGACATCAGCCACAGCAACTTCTTTCAAGATACATCTCCAAAAGCTAGTGAAACTAAAGCAAAAATGAACTTTTGGGACTTCATCAAGATAAAAAGCTATATGTGTCTTTAAATATAAAGTGTGTCTCTTGTATATAGCATATAGTTGGATCTTGTATTTTTATCCATTTGTCCCCTTTGTTTTTATTGGATAATTTAATCTGTTTACATTTAAAGTAATTATTGATAGTGAAGGACTTACTAATGTTATTTTTGAAATTTTTTTCTGTCTTGTAGGGTTCCTTTCTTCTTTAATCTTTTGCAATTACAAACAACTCTTACAGTTCATTTCAACCTTGAGAATTAAAACTCATTTCCTACAAATCATCAGTAGCAGAGGGAGCATGCATGGTAAAAGAAAAAAACAAACATACTATATACTGGAAGCATCAAAGCATCTGGACCTCTGCCTCAATTCTGTCTTGGAGTCATGACCAAGGAATTATTTGTTTAATTCAACGGCATCTTGGACTGATATCTGTATCTTGAAAAGGGGTTTCAGAATAAGTTGCTCTGATTACATTTTTTATTTGAAGTGATATTTGAGACATTTACAAATAGGAAAGAAAACTAATGCCCAAAGCAAACCGATTACTAATTATTCCATTTTTATTAAGGGAAAACTAATAGAAATATAGAGTGCACACACAAACAATTTTTTTTTATAAGCCTCATGTTGTTAGGTTTTATCAGGGCTCTTTCTCCCTCTCCATCTGTGTGTGTGTGTGTGTGTGTATGCATGTTATGTTGGGTTTATTATTTCCATTATTTATTTATTTATTTGTGTTCTATTAATTACCTAAGTTTTCTCATTTGGTATAAACAACAAGTTTTGATTTTACAATGACAGAATAAAAAGAATGATAAAAAAAATAAATAGGCTAAAAGGAAGAAATTTTTTAAATCCTGAAGGAAACCTGATTGTACATTGCAGCAAAATTTCAAATGTTTTAATGAGTAGTACCTCTTGATAAAGATGTTTTCCAGGCATATTTCAATTGCTATGAGCCCAAAATGATAAAGAAGTGCAAGGAACTACAGAGAGTAATTGTTTGACCAGTGATGGGTTGGTGGTGGAAAATGTAGAAACCTTTCTTCAGTTCCTGATGTATTTCTTATGTGACAGATACACCTATGGGAAACCTGTCCCAGGACTTGCAACTGTAAGCATGTGCAGAAAATTATTGCATCCCATTTATTGTCAGAAGCCAGAGTTCTGTGAGAAATTCACTCAACAGGTTAGTTTACAGTTTTCTCTCTAGAGGCTATCATTGTTGACAACCATTGAACTACCCCATTTTACTCACTGGAAAGAGGACATTGGAGTAAACTTATCCCAAAATATTTACCACCAAAAAAGGAAAAATAATTTCTATTCCTGGTCAATAAAATTCTCATTTTGATGTCTAACCCTTAGAGAATATAAATAACACATGTGAATATTAAATTCCTGAAGGTCAGTTAACATGTTTAACCCAAAGAAGTTGTGTTGGCATCGGAAGGAAAATAATAGATTTAGTGACTATTGTCTTAGTATGGCATTTATCAATTTTTTTTATTTCTCTCAGCTCAACAGCAATGGCTGCATCACCCAAGAAGTAAAATCAAATGTACTCCAGATTAAAAATATGGGTTATAAAATGCAACTTAAAGTGGAAGCCAAGATCAGAAAAGAGGGAACAGGTTTGCACTCTAAGTTAATACAGGCGGTGAAACAATAAAAATTGGTTTGTTTTCCATAACAAAATAAGGGTCATAGGAAAGTGGAAGGAAATGAATTTTGGTACTAGTAACTTCCAAGAGTACTTACTCTTCTCTACATATTTTTAGACCTAGTATTTACTGGAAATGGGACCAGTGAAATCACAAACATTGTAACCAGACTCAAGTTTGTGAAAGTGGATTCACACTTTAGACGAGGAATCCCCTTCTTTGGACAGGTAGAGTATATTGCAATTCACAAGTAATGAAGTATCCAGTTGTACCTATCTTCAGGGCACAATGATGTAGCCTATAACTAGTTAATTGATATCAGTTAATTAATATGACCCAAACCATGAAGCCAAGCAAAACTACTTTCCTTTGTAAATATCACTGATAAAATGTGCAATCACATACTATAGTATTTTGAGAATCAGAGGTATTTTTTTTAGAACATACAGCTAATGAAGATGCTTAACGTGATATGAGTTAATTACTATGGCAAACCTTTCTACCGCCCATTTGACAATAAATATATTTCTACCGATATCCAGCCAGCTTCAGAATTTTAAGAGAATTTCTCACAAATGATTCTCAATTTATGGCTACCAGTATCCTCCTTTATACCTGCTGTTCTATTTAGAAATAAGTGGTTTTGTGTTTATTTTTTTCTTTTTCAAATTTTTATTTAAATTTTAGTTAATTAACATATAGTGTAATATTGGTTTCAGGAATAGAATTTTGTTCATATAACTCTCAGTGCTCATCACAAGTGCCCTCCGTAACCCATCACCCATCTAGCCCATCCCCCACCCACTACCCTCCATCAACCCTCAGTTTGTTCTCTATCGTTAAGACTTGTCTTATGGTTTGTTTCCCTCTCTCTCTTTTTTTTTTTCTTCCCATATGTCTAGACTGGATATGTGTAATTTTATTTCTAGACATAGGAACTATAATTGTGTACATTTTATGGCCATTATTATTAAATTATTTTCATACTCGGGCTTGTATTGCATGGAGCACTGGATGTTATATGCAAACAATGAATCATGGAACACTACATCAAAAACTAATGATGTACTGTATGGTAACTAACATAACATAATAAAAATTTTTTAAAAGGTATACCTTTTAATTTTAACTAATAATTTTACCCCTTTTATAAGTATTTATAATTATTTATCCATTCCATAATTATTTCTTTAAAATTACTTATAATTTTTCTCAAAAAGAAACACTTTTCATGGGACAGTTTATGTGGTTTGTTTCAGGAGATGCAAAAGACCTGAGGATCCAAAAAAAAAGGGGGGGAAAGGTGAAAGACATGAGGATACAAATAGGAAAAAAAATAAATTTTGTAGTAAATATAGAAGGGTTGTTTTCTGGATTTGCTTTTGCTTTTCTTTCAGTTATGGTAGCAAAGGAATTTGTTTCCATGAGTTCTGTCTTCTCTGAATATTATCCACATAACTTATCAAATTCTTTTCTTCTTTAGGTGCTTCTGGTGGACGGGAAAGATGCGCCCATCCCCAATAAACTTGTCTTTATCTCTGCAAATGAAGCAAATTATCTTTACAATGCAACTACCAATGACCAGGGTCTTGTTCAGTTTTCAATCAATACTACTAATATTTTGGCTAACAAAATTTCTGTCATGGTAAGTATGAAAGGAAAAAAAAAACTGAGGACAAAGAGAAACCTTAGTATAACAATCATTTATTCAGAAGTGAAGAAGCACACATATTGTATTTGAGAGAGAGAAATAAGAAGCTGTCTAACTTAGGGATAAACTTAGGAATTAAAATTTTAATTAAAAACAACAAAAATGGTAGAAGAGATACTGTCAGATTGTCTGATCAATTCATTAGCATTATCTTTAAAATTTTATGTATTATGCAAAAAAAAATCTTATAGGATTTGGTTCTGAACCATATCAGTTCTTCAATGGGTAAGTAATTCATGTAATTTGTTTAATGTTGTTTTTTTCTTTGTCCACTCAGATAATTTAAAGACTGATCAGAACCCCCACACACACTTAATATATATTGCCTAATGATGATGATCAAAAGATTTCTACAACCAAAAAGATTTTATGCTTGTAATTTCAAACAAAGAATTGGTGAAAGACAATGATTTATTGATTCCACCTTAAACAGCATTTAAATTATTTCCATTTCCCAAAGTTCAAATGTTAATTCAATTTAAAATATGGAATGATGCTTAATGTTTTCTATGTAATAGATACCTGCTCTTCCCTAAGATTGAAAAGATAAGTGGAGTGTCCTTATATTTGAAACTCTATAATGATAGAGTTAACAGAGCTGTAAATTATTAGTATTATATACTTAAAAGCAATAATAAAAAAAAAAACAGGAACTTTATCATGAGAGCAAATAGAAAGGTCCCCAAAATAAACCTAGTAAATCCAGAAAAAGAAAATAAGTATATCCATAAAATAGCTAAAGAGCAACCACTGCAGGGGAAATAAATGGAATTATCTGCTAAACAACATTGGTAAGGCTTAAAGGTCCAGAAACTACAAGGCCTTGAAAATCAAGTCATAATAATGATAAGAAGCATAGATGATAATTTGCTGGGATTATTTATAAACAATTTTGAAGCCCTTATAGTTTAAAATATTACATTAATATATATAACATAATTTTAATTAAACCAACTTACATGGGACTTCTATTATCTAAAGATTTCCTTTTCTGCTTACTATGATTATTTACCACTCTCACTGGGACATCATTGTTCCTCTGGCCTTGAGCCACAGAAGAAAAGATAAATCAGTGATGATTTAGCAGAATCAGGGCAAAGGAGATTAATGGGTAGATTATTTCCCTTTAATCACTGCAATTTGGGAAGGTGATCATTTGTTTCTTTGGTGGTCAACAGGGGTGAGGACGATGCATAGTATATGTTAGAAGGGAAGACACAAAATTTTAACTCTTCATTTTGATGGGAAGCTAAAGTGAAGAATTTCAAGATGATATTCATTCTTTGTTTTTCTGTTTTACCAGGCCTACCACACACAACCTGACTTGTGTTTTAACTCTGTATGTCTACGAGAGGAACACCAGGCAGCTCAGCACATTGCAAAGCATGCTTTCTCCTTACATGGGAATTATGTTCACCTGGAACGTGTGGCTGGTACCCTGCCCTGTGGCCAAACTCAGATTATCAAGGCATACTATATACTCAATGGGAAGGCCACTGGGGAGCCAAAGGAGCTCATTTTTTATTACCTGGTAAGAATAAGGACACGAAATATATTTGGAGTTTATCAGTAGACAAAAGTGGTTAACAGACCAGGAAAAGTGGTTCGCCAGTGCCCCACCATCTTCCTTTCTCATCCATGTTCCCCTTGATTCTTTCATTTTTATGCAATTCATTCTCTCTAGCAGAGATTCAAGAACCCAAAGCAGGTCATATAGGGAGTAAGAAGTTGAGAAGTGTGTTAGGCTCAGAAAGGTTGCTTTTTTGTTGATTTTTCATTTCAGATCATGACTAAGGGGAACATCGTCAGATCAGGGACACATGCTGTGCCTATACAGCTAAGAGACAGTGAGTATCCTTAAGTTTGCTCCCCCATATCCTTCCCAACACATCTAGCTTCACATGTCAGTGACAGTTCACAAATGGGATGTTATTCCCATTATCCCTTTATGATAAGGACACAAAAGATGCTCTCCTTATGAACTCTAACTTTTTTTTATTCAACACAGTCAACAGATAAATTGGATTGCCTCCTAAGGCACACTTTTTTTCACTTCAGTGTGTTTCTTCTATCTGACATTTAAATTAGAAACTTCTGCAAATCTAAGCTTCGTTCTGTTTTTTAACCCTAACAATAAATGTGAAGTGGTCGTCTTTAATCTTAGTATTGCAGAGAAGAGAGTTAAGTATCCTGGAGAACAGCGAGGAAAAAGATGATGGACTGGGTTTTTTTTCCTATGCCGGACTCTGCGCTAGGCTTTCGTCCCTCAGGAAAGGCTCTCTCCCTTCGACACTTAATGAGGATGCTTACTGTGTGTGCCGCAGGCATGAAACTGTGAACTCACACATGATTTTGAGCGCACTTCATGAATAACTTGGGGGAAAGGAAACAGGATTATTTTCTATCTTAATTAAATCATGTCAGGGGCGCCTGAGTGGCTCAGATGGTTGAGCGTCTGCCTTCGGCTCAGGTCATGATCTCAGGGACCTGGGATCGAGTCCCGCATCGGGCTCCCTGCTCCTTGGGAGCCTCCTTCTCCCTCTGCCTCTCTCTCTCTCTCTCTCTCTCTCTCTCTCTGTCTCTCATGAATAAATAAATAAAATCTTTAAAATCAATCAATCAATCAATCAATCAATCAATCAATCATGTCAGGATTTAAATCACTGGAAAAAGAACCCATGAGCATTCTTGTAATTAACTGAAATTAAGGCAAATACTTCACCAAACTCCACCTCGACCCAGAGCTAAACTTAACAATGGTTGGGATTTGCTCCATAACTGTGATTTTTTTTAAAGATTTTATATATTTATTTGAGAGAGAGAGAAATTGACAGAATGAGTTGGAGGAGGGGCAGAGGAAGAAGCAGACTCCCTGCAGAGCAAGGAGCCCTAAGCAGAACTTGATCCCAGGACCGTGGGATCATGACCTGAGCCAAAGGCAGACGCTTAACTGAGCCACCCAGGCACCCCATGATTTTTTCTTAATAGTTCCTTTCTCTATCAGGCTGGAAAGGTAAAACATCAATTATATTTTTGTTTTTCCATATTGAAACTACACTGGAAGAGGTTTAATTAATTTATTTTTTATTAACATATAATGTATTATTTGTTTCAGTGATACAGGTCTGTAATTCATCAGTCTTACACAATTCACAGGGCTCACCATAGCACATACCCTCCCCAATGTCTATCACCCAGCTACCCCATCCCTCCCACCCCCCTCCACTCCAGCAACCCTCAGTTTGTTTCCTGAGATTAAGAGTCTCTCATAGTTTGTCTCCCTCTCTGGCTTTGTCTTGTTTCATTTTTCCCTCCCTTCCCCTATGATCCTCTGTCTTGTTTCTCAAATTCCTCATATCAGTGAGATCATATGATACTTGTCTTTCTCTGATTGACTTATTTCACTTAGCATAATACTCCCTAGTTCCATCCACGTCATTGCAAATGGCAATATTTCAATTTTTGATGGCTGCATAATATTTCATTGTATATATATACCACATCTTCTTTATCCATTCATCTGTTGATGGACATCTGGGCTCTTTCCATAGTTTGGCTATTGTGGACATTGCTGCTATAAACATTGGGGTGCATGTGCCCCTTCAGATCACTACATTTGTATCTTTAGGGTAAATACCCAGTAGTGCAATTGCTGGGTCAAAGGGTAGCTCTATTTTGAACTTTTTGAGGAAACTCCATACTGATTTATTCATTTGAGAGAGAGAGAGAGCACGAGTAGGGGGGAGAGGCAGAGGGAGAAGCAGACTCCCCGCTGAGCTGGAAGCCAGAAGTGGGGCTTGATCCCAGGACCTGGAGATCATGACCTGAGCCGAAGGCAGACGCTTACCTGCCTGCACCAGCTTGCATTCCCACCAACAGTGTAGGAGGGTTCCCCTTTCTGGAGGAGGTTTAATTTGAAAGAAGGTACTAATTAGTACTCTCAACAATTAACTATTGTGGGGGCTCCTGGGTGGCTCATTTGGTTAAGCATCTGCCTTCAGCTCAGGTCATGATCTCCAGGTCCTGGGATCAAGCCCCACTTCTGGCTTCCAGTTCAACAGAGAATCTGCTTCTCCCTCTGCCTCTCCCCCCTGCTTGTGCTCTCTCTTTCTCTCTCTCAAATGAATACACAGAATCTTTATAAAAAATTAACAATTGTTTGAATTAAATGTTAAAGAGTGCTGCCAACTTCGAATATCATTTATCCCAATATTTATATAGGGATAGTTTGATATAGAGAATGGACCCACGTGTGCATTATTTCCCTTCAATGCATCATATAGCTTGTTTTTCTATTTTCTTACAATAATGGAACATATAACACCTTTATAGAAATGGATGAGTGTCTTAAAACATTATATGTTTATCTGATTTTTCTTTCCTGATATTTTAATTTGTGCATCATTCGGAAAAGGATCTCTACATAATAATATAAGGAAGAGTTTATTCATTATTTACTTCATGAAGACATCACAAAAAAGGTAATGCAAGTAACTCAACCAATAATTGAAAAGAATTTCTTTATATACTCAATGAATTCACAAGTATTTATAATAAAACTATTTTAACCACACATTGTAGTTATGTTATTAATTACCAGTTTGTTCTTCATAAAGATGTATGGAAAATCCTTAACTCTATTAGTTAAAAGAACCAACTCTGTTCACAATTTGTCTAAATACAACCTTTTTCATAGCTTGCTCATCTTGTTCTTTTCTTATACTATCCTGCAGTTTTAACCTCATGGTGCAAATTACTAATTTCAGAAGTATTTCTGAGTCTGTTTTAAATTTAAAACTACTGTTTTAAATTCAGAATTCAGATTTTAAATGACAAAGCCTTCATTACTATTTCATTACTAAAAGGTTACTTTCCTTCCAATATTCTCTGGGAAAAAAAATCTGCCATGACTTCTCTATTTTTATGATGCTTCAATCTATTCTGAACTACTATTGCTCATGCCCAGACATGGCAATACAAGGGCTTGAACTACCCTCCTATTAGAGAGAAGCTTATTTCCTTTCAGGGGCCTAAGTTGAACTTGATCCCTCCAATGGGACAAAAATATGAATGCCCTGACACTGCCTTAGTCATTCCCAAGGGTGGGGGAGGAAGGAGAGTTGTTTTTAAATGAGCATAGTTTCAGATTTGCAACATGAGAAAGTTCTGGAGATCTGTTTCACAACAACGTGAATATACTTAACACTACTGAACCATACACTTTAAAATGGTTAAGATGGTGAATTTTATGTGTTTTTTCACCACAATAAAAAAGACATATATTTGAAAAAAAAAGTGTACTCTATGATTATATCTTATAAATTATAGTTCTGAATTTAAATTGAGGATCACCTCTGGCCTGCAGTCTAAGTGAAATGGTTTTCATTCATCATATAGATATATGAGATATATACTCATTATATATATGACATATATAAGAAGTTCCTTATTCTATAATTTTTTTTAATTTTATTATGTTATGTTAGTCACCATATAATACATCACTGGTTTTTGATGTGGTGATCCACGATCCATTGTTTTCATTGTTTCACAGACACATTTTAAGATGTGGAAACTAAGAGAATGTTTGAGAGATTTGTGCAAGATTACCAGAAGTAAATGACATAGCTGAGCTTCTGAAACTGCCCACAAGCTTTGATCTCTTCCCTGACATAACTTCTTTTTCTCTAGAGAATCAAATCTAAATCTCAGTTACTCATGCTTCACAATGATATTAATGAAAGCTACGTGTTTTAAGATTCACCACTTATGTGATGTTCTTATTTAAAAAAGAATTAAAAATGGGGCACCTGGGGGCTCAGTCAGTTAAGCGTCTGCCTTCTGCTCAGATCATGATCCCAGGTCCTGGGATTGAGCCCGGATCCGGCTCCTTGCTCAGCAGGGATCCTGCTTCTCCCTCTCCCTTTGGCCTACCCCCTGTTTGGGCTCTCTTTTGCTCTCTCTCTCTCTCAAATAGATAAAGAAAATCTTTTAAAAATAAATAAAAAAGAAAAAAGAGTAAGTTCCCAAAGTATTAGATAATATGGATCATACCTAAAAAAATCATTTTTGGTCAATTGACTAAGTTAGCTTTTTATAAAATTGATATTTACAAGCATAAGTCATGTACCTCCCAGCAGATCTAACTATTTTATTTCTAGAGTTCTTGTGGTCTATGAAATTGAAAGTGATTCACAAATTATTTTCAACTTAAAAAAAAAATTACCTACAACATCTCTGTTAGCTTTGATGAATCACAGACTAACTAAAATTTTAAGTCTCTTCTTTTTTTTTTTTCTAGAATTGTATTAATTCATAGTGGTAATATTTGGTGTATCATGTTGATCTTTATTTTCTTCATCATAACTTGCCTATTTGGGAGTTATTATTACTTATCAATATTGGAGGATAAATCAGTAATATTGAAGTTCCTTCTGGTTTTGTTCTAGTATCTACTTCTCAAAATTCATTTATATGTATTATATTTTTTTAAAGATTTGTTTATTCATCTTGAGAGAAAGAGAGAGAGAGAGAGAGAACATGCTCACACACAACTGGGAGGGGCAGAGGGAGAAGGGGAGAGAGAATCTCAAGCAGACTCCCTGCTAAGCATTGAGCCCAACACGGGGCTCTATCTCACAATCCTGAGATCATGACCTGAGCCAAAACCAAGAGAAGGATGTTTAACCAACTGCACCACCCAGGAGCCCGATATGTATTAAATTTTAAAACTGTAAGATAAATATATCAAGAATCACTATCCTCTTTCCAATCATCAAAATTAACATTCTTCAGAATGGAGGGTATAATCAAAATTTTTCTCAAACTTGTCTTTTATGACAGGTCAAAATATCTCCTCTTGGCATAATAATTATTACATAAAAGACATATTTCTCTGACTAGAGTTCTCTATTTGAATTAGAAGATGGCATGAGGAAGTTAACCTGAAAAGTAGGGAATTTTCTCCTGGGTGCTTTCTTTGGATTATTTATTTAAGAGAGGGAGCAGGGGGAGGAGCAGAGGGAGAGAATTTCAAGTAGACTTAGCACTGAGCACAGAGCCCTACACAGGGCTTGATCTCAGGACCCTGAAATCATGACCTGAGATGAAATCAAGAGTCGGACACTTAATCAACTGAGCCACCCAGGCACCTGGAGGAATGGCTTATTTTTTTCTTATACTCTGTATTTATGGTAGTCTATTCTAAGCTGTTTTTCAGCTTGTGTTGAAGGAATTCAGTCTACTTTTCAATATTTTTATGTCTATCCTATTTTGTGTCATTATATAAATTTAATAGTTGCTTCAGTTGCATTACACAGCTTTGAATATTATAGAGGTAAGAAAGGATTATGAACATAACGAGATTTGGGTTCTTAAAATTTTTTAAATCTTTAAATCACTTACTTTGACAATAACCTGAAAAATAGTCATTCACCCAATATAGAGGATGCATGCTCATTTATGTGACCATTTGGTTCTCCTACTCAAGAACAAAGTAAATAGATAAAGTTTGAAGGGTGTTTGTGGTTAGTTATCTACTGCTGTATAACAATCTTCCCCAAACTTAGTGGTTTAAAACAATAAACAATTATTATCATATGCACTTTCTGTGGATTAGGAATCCTGAAGTGACTTATCTGGGTGGTACTGGCTTGTGATGTCTCATGTCAGTTCACATGTCAACGTGTTAGCTAGGGCTTCAGTCATCTGAAGACTTGACTGAGGTTGGAAGTCTACTTCTGAGATGTGTTACTCATATAGTTATTGTCAGGAGGCCTTAATTCCTCACCACACTGACTCTTCCATAGGGCTGCCTGGGTGTCCCCACAACATGTCAGGTGATTTCCTCCAGAGCAAGTGATCTGAGAGAGAAGCTAAAGCTGCAGTACATTTTATGACCTGGGCTTGGACTTTATACACTATCACTTCCACAAAATCTTATTAGTTATAGATGTCAACCCTATTCATTATAGGAGAAACTACACAAGAGCATGAATACCAGGAAGTAGAGATTATTGGGGGCAATTTTGGAGGTTGTCTTCACAGTCTGTCTTCTAACTCCCAATGATTTATGACCCTCCCACAGGTAAAATACACTCACTTTCCTTCCAAACTCCTAAATGTCTCATTCCCCAATAGCAACAGCTCAAAGGTTGAACTTCATCATTTAAATTAGGTCCAGGGGCAGATGATGTTTCTTGGGTGTAGTTCCTCAAGTACAATTCCTCTAGATATGAAGACTTTGAACTAAAGTGTACTTAAGTTATTTACCTCCACACATCCAGCGTACAATGGTGGAACTAGCATACTAACACTCCTGTTCAAAAGGGGAAACAAAGTCACATGGGAGTTATTGGTCCATGGCAATTCTGAGATCCAGCCAAAGGTTCAAAGTCCTTTGATTAGGACTTGTCTTACTCCAGCTTAGGAAATAAATATCCAGGCCTCTTGGCTCCACTCTATGGATTCTTGGTTCTTTCATTTAAGTCATCCTTGTTCAAAAAAAAAGTGACCTGTGTTTGCAATCGTGTAGACATTGTTCTACTGAATATAGATGATATATATTCATTTACGTACTTACGTGGTTCTTCTATACAAGAACAAAGCCAGGGCGCCTGAGTGGCTTAGTCGGTTAAACGTCTGCCTTCAGCTCAGGTCATGATCCCAGGGCCCTGGGATGGAGCCCTGCATCGGGCTCCCTGCTCAGCGGAGGCCTGCTTCTCCCTCTGCCTGCCACTCTGCCTATCTGTGCTATCTCTCTATCTCTCTATCAAGAAAGAAAGAAAGAAGCCATAACGTTTATGGCTTTGGGTATCTCCATGAAACTAATATAACATTAAGGCTATTGGGGTTACTTAGGGACATTACTAAGGAAAATATATTTCATATAGTCTATTCAAGTTACAAACCTATTGAGTCACCATTTTTACAGGGTATGAGATTAAAGGTGCTCACCAACTCTAAATCCGAAAACCACAGTCATGTTCAATGATCCACCCACCGATAGGAAGAGAAGGGCAACCATTGATGGCAGGTAAAATAACAAGTTATTTTCAATTTTCTATTACATCCAACAATATCACTTTGCAAAAAAAAAGGTAAAATGAGATAGATAGTGTAACCATTTTATACATAGAGAAACCAAGATTCAGATAAGATGTTTCTTGCTGAGATCATTTAGCTGGTAAATGGCATAGCCAGAACTGACCAGAGTGTTTTAAATTTGAGTCGGATACTTTAAGTTACAAAGGAAGAAGTTCAAGTTTAAACTATGAAAATTTGGGGGAGAAGGAAATTTTCTGGAATTTAATAAGGATAGAATTGTAGGCATATGATATAACTCAAAAAAAACTTATAAAAATGTATAGATATAAATAGCTGAAAATTGAAATAAATAGATATAATGAATAATAAATGGGTAGATATAACTGAATCAAGTATATGATACAATGGAAGAGCTACAAGAACTAGAATGTTTTGTGAAAGTTCTTGAAAGTAATTTAAATAACATAAAACCCATTCCCATGTCTGTTTGGGAAGCCATCATACAACCTCAAAGGGTTTGATGACATAGAACAATATACATGGAGAATAAAACTTTAATAATGTCCCTAGCATGAGAGAGAGAGAGAGAGAATGGTTCATCTAAAAAAGGGATTAAAATCATGTTAGACAATGATAGAAATGATTAGGGCCTGAAACTGCAAAAATCAAGAAGTCATAAAAATTGGAGTTATTATTCATGCATGTGTTCCATGAATATTCACTGAACACTTACTTACCTATTTTCTGGACATAACAAATATTGAGAACAAAAATCTTCACCTTAGGTTATGTCCTAATGGACACAGAAAGAATGTAAACAAAATAAGCAAGTATATTAAATAGTCTATTAAAAGATGACAAAAGCTATGGGAAAAATTAAAAGAGAGAATGGAATATCGAGACTAAAGGAGTTGCAAGTTTCAATAAGGTGTTCAGTGAATATCCTACCAAGAGAGTGAAGTTTGAGCAAAGACTTGAAGGAAGAGAACAAAATAAGAGACTATCTGGAAGAAGAGTATTTCATTCATAGAAAGCAACACCAATAATAGAAAATACCTGTAGAGTGCTTACTCTGTTTTAGAAGACCGATGAGAGGGAGATAGAATATAGATGGCTTTATTGAGATGTAACTGATGTATAATATTATATATAAGTTTAAGGTGTACAGTGTGCTTATCTGATGCTCTTATTTTTTAGAGGGGTGGGGCAGAGGGAGAGGGAGAGAGAGAATCTCAAGCAGACTCCCTGCTGAGCGCTGAGCCCCAAGCAGGGCTCAATCTCATGACCCTGAGGTCATGGCCTGAGCCAAAACCAAGAGTCAGACACTTAACCACTGAGCCACCTAGGCACCCCTTGATGCACTTATATATTGCAAAATGATTATCACCACAACATCAACTAAAATTTCCATGACCTCATAATTTCCATTTCTTTCTTTTAAATTTTTATTTTAATTCGTTAATTAACATATAGTGTTATATTAGTTTCAGTTGTAGAATTTATTGATTTCCTCACTTCCATACATCATCTGGTGCTCATCATAACAAGTGCCTTCCTTACTCCCCATCACTTATTTCACCCATCTCCCCAACCACCTCCCCTCTGGTAACCATCAGTTTGTTCTCTATAGTTAAGAGTCTGTTTCTTGGTTTGTCTGTCTCTCTCTTATTTTTTTCCCTTTGCTTGTTTGTTTTGTTTCTTAAATTCCACATATGAGTGAAATCATATAGTATTTGTCTTTCTCTGACTGCCTTAGGAATATTATTCATCCATTTTAAAAAATGAAATCTTGGGATGCTGGGGTGGCTCAGTCGTTAAGCATCTGTCTTCCGCTCAGGTCATGATCCCAGGGTCCTGGGATCGAGTCCCACATTGAGCTCCCTGTTCAGCAGGAGGCCTGCTTCTCCCTCTGCCTGCTGCTCCCCCCTGCTGGTACTCTCACACTCTCTCACTTTCTCTCTCTCTCTCTGGCAAATAAATAAATAAAATATTTTTAAAAAATGAAATCTTGCCATTTGCAACAACATGGATGGAGCTAGAGAGTATAGTGCTAAGTGAAATAAGTCGGTCCATTTTTTTTTTTTATGGTTTTCACCAATTTTTAAATGGAAAAGCTGAACCTGGAAAGACTAAGTAACTCAACCCATTAAGATGCCACAGCCAGTTTAGATATGGAATGGGATGGATTCAAATCTGGCTGTTTGACTCCAGATCCATGTTTTTTAACCTCTACACTATTCTGTCTATCAAAGGCTCTAAGGTGAGAGCTTGTCTGGAACATTCTAAAAGTAAGGAAACCATTGTGGTCAGAACAGAGTGAATCAAGGGAGAGTGAGATCAGTGGAATAATTGAGGCCAAATTGTATAGGGCCTTGTAGGTCATTGTAAGAATTTGACATTTTACTCTGCATGAGATGGAAAGATTTTCAGAAGGGGCGGGTAAAGTGATTTAATATGTTTCTTATATAGATCACCTAAATACTACATTTAGGAGAAAATTAAGTTTTGAGTTTTTATACCTTTTTGCTTGAAAGTAGCAAAGGTAAAAAATGAATACAAGTATTACTAAGCTAGATTGAGTGGCCCTTTAACAGCTATGAACAGAATGTCCAGGAGAAAGTATTTTGTGATCAGCAGTGAAATAAAATATAAGTGGGTGTGTCCAGGGATCAACACATTTTGATGAAATCAGATGGGAAAAAGAAGCAAAATAATAATAATAATATTTTGTCTTGGGAAATTAATCTAAAGGCATTTCAGTAGAGTTTATGAGTTGTGACATAAGGAAGAATAGAATTTTAATGTAAACACTGTGAAAGAATCAGTAGAGAGTCAAGCTGACCTTGAGAATGAGACGATAAGGAAAATATCGTCATCATCCAGTAAATAGAGTTAAAATAACACATTAAGCCATTGTTCGTTAACTGCAACAGCTGGAGAAGTTGAGGGGTCTTTGACATCTGGAGCAGGAAAGAGAAGATAGTTTATTTAGATGCATCATCCATTTAGATAAACTTGAATACTAATAATCCGTTTACATATTCGATGTAAGAGTAAAGATAAAGACAACAGAGCAACATCAGTGAGAAACCGAAGGCAGAGATAGAGATGGCTACCACTTGGAAGGACATGAGGGAAAGAAGATGTATGATATTTATTTAAAGAAATTACTATTGATGCTTTTTACAGTTGAGAGAAATATTGAGGGGAAATGTCTGGACAATGTTTTTCCTCATAAATATTCTTTCACAAAGGCAATTCTGAAATATCAGATGGAGTACTTGAATGGAGAGCCTCACTCAAATTCAATTAAGCATGATTTCAGATACAACATAGAACCAGAAAGCCTTCATGTTTAGTTCTCTACCCCCCCTCACTTTTGTAGATAACTTCTGTCTCCATTATAGCGCTATACCAAATGGAACTGTCTCTCTTTGGCATCTTGAATTTTTCATTTCTCCTTCCCAAGAGATAAAGAGAATAAAATCTAATGCTCTAGCCTTGTTATCAAGAGAACAATGAGTTTACAAGCTTCAATATAGTATAAAGAGTTGATATTATTAAATTCTGTTCACCCCATTGGTAATTCAAACAATTGAACACATTTTGTCTAAAGAGAGTTTGGCATATTCTGCTCAACCCTTCTTATGGAGGAAACAATACTCTGTGACCTTGAGAACTCACTATTTCTCCCACAAAGCATAAATGCATCTCCAAGTTATCTTGTCCTACAAGCCTCCACTCAATATAGAATTATGCTATCTCTAAGATACATGGAATTTCTACCTTTAATGAAGACTCCTGTATGCTCAAAGAATAAGGGCTCAACAAGTAATTTCCAAAGTTCTACAACTCTTAGGAGACAATCTGAGCAGGAATATTAAGACTTTGCTCTTCTAAGTCTCACACTTGTACCATGAAATGAATGGATGCTTTTTCTTTAACTAGATTGTAATTTTCCCTTATTTTTGATAGCAGGTATAAGAGCAAGTTCATATAGTCCTCAATTTCACTCATATAATATCATGTCCGCAAATAATATGCAAAGTCCAGAGCCAATCTCTGAAACAGTACGGACTTATTTCCCTGAGACCTGGATCTGGGATTTGGTAGTGGTGGAGTAAGTACCTTCATTCTCCTCCATTTGCTGTGGGTGAGGGAACATGGGTCCTCCAGCATTTTCAACTCTAAGATAATCTTTCTGAGAAGTTCTAAATAATCATGTTAACCTCTCATCCGTTCAGGATGGGCCTAAGAAAATGCTTTTATTATTTGGATTCATTAGTAAAATTGTCTCAGAGCAATTCTAAAAGAATTATTCCTGAGACTGCCAGAAAACAGACATGGGTACTAAAAGTATCCAAATGCTAGATTGCCTAATGCCATTGGGGGAGCCTTCCATAAACAAGATTTGAACATGCACATAAACACATCAAGCTATGTAAATGTAGCTTTTTGGATCATGATTCTTAAGTATGCTGGTTTATGAGATCACACAACAGTGAGGGGAGTTTAAGGACCAAACTGAATTACATTCAAATATTTTTCTTTAAGGTACAGACATGTTGATAAGGGAAAGAGGCAGCATTTAGTACCTTTTGTTTTCCCAACTCAGTTTCCCAATACATAACCTAGTGTACACATGTGCACACATTGATTCTCACTTAAGAAGAGATGTTTCACCTGCTCACTTTCTGTTCTTCACATCTCTATCTTCCCCAGCTCCTCGGGAGTGGCTGAAGTGGGAGTAACAGTTCCTGATACCATCACGGAGTGGAAGGCAGGGACCCTCTGCCTGTCCAATGACACTGGACTTGGTCTCTCTCTTCCCGCCTCCCTCCGAGCCTTCCAGCCCTTCTTTGTGGAGCTCACAATGCCCTACCGAGGAGAGGTCTTCACACTCAAGGCCACCGTCCTCAACTACCTTCCCAAATGTATCCGGGTAAGGAAAATGAAGGTAGACTGAAAGGGTGGATAGAATCAAAGACTTCTTCGGTCCCTCAGCTCCTGATTCTGTTCCCAAGACTGTGGATAATTCTGGGAATTATGCACTAGCATTGTTTGTGCTAAGCAAGCAGGACATGATCAGAAAGGTAACACAACAACATTTGAGCTACAGGTACTGAAATCATGGATCTCCAAATCACATGCATTTTTTAAATTTTTTATTGGTATGTTAATCACCATACATTACATTAGTTTTTGATGTAGTGTTCCATGATTCAATGTTTGCATATAACACCCAGTGCTCCATGCAGAACGTGCCCTCTTTAATATCCATCACCAGGCTAACCCATCCTCCCATCCCCCTCCCCCCTAGAACTCTCAGTTTGTTTTTCAGAGTCCATCATCTCTCATGGTTCGTCTCCCCCTCCGATTTCCCCCCCCCTTCATTCTTCCCCTCCTGCTATCTTCTTCTTCTTTTTTTTTAACATATATTGTATTATTTGGGTGGCTCAGTGGGTTAAGTATCTGCCTTCGGCTCAGGTCATGATCCCAGGGCCCTGGGATTGAGCCCCATGTGGGGCTCTCTGCTCAGGGGAGAACCTGCTTCTCCCTCTCTCTCTGCTGTTCCCCCTGCTTGTGCTCTCTCTCTCTGTGTCAAATGAATAAATAAAATCACATGCATTTTTTAAAAATTTCCTGAATCTTACAGCATCCTCTACCATGGGATAGGCTTTTTGCCAAGAAAATTCTTGATGCTGACACAAAACTCAGTTTTATTAATCCCATGAGTGTCATTCTTTAAGGACTCCCATCTCTAAACTCCCACAATATGCTTGTAACTTCTCTTACAGCACATATTTCTTTGTAAACTTTGTCACAGTTGTGCATATAGATTATCCCCTTCATAACACAGTATCTTCGAGGTCAGGAACTTCTTACATACTCTTCATAATTTGCTATGCCTTGTACATAGTAGACATGTGATGAATGTTGCAGGAAGTGGGAAAAGGTAAGAAAGAAGGGAGTCAGGGAAAAAATCTACATGAGAGGTAGGAACCAACAAGCAGAAACCAGTAGGTAGTGCTCCCATGGGCAATATACCACTGCTGCTTTTCCCTCCTACCCACTGCTTCCACATCTGTAGATTTCTCCAATTTACCCTAATGCAAAGGCCAGATCCTCCTAGTAAGTAATCATCCTTGAGTTATATAATTGCCATTCTCATACTTCTCAAAGCATGAATGAGCTTACATGACATCATTTTTTCCAAGTCACAATTTAGAGCAACATCTCATATGTGGCCCCAATTCTGTGCATTCATTGTCTCTCCATATTCTGATAATTTCTCTCCCTCTGCCTCCCTTGCAAATGATAGGTCAGTGTGGAACTGAAAGCTTCTCCAGCCTTCCTACAATCCCAAAATGAGAAGGGAAAAGAATCCTATTGCATCTGTGCAAATGAGCGGCAAACCCTGTCTTGGACAATAACTCCTAAAACTCTGGGTGAGTGACATTCCCCCAAAAGGTTCTCCAATCAACAGGGGTGGTGGGTATCTGAACACTACTTACATCACATTCGCTTTTTTGTTTCACACAAATATAATTCCATAAGGTTAGTTTTTTTTCTTCTTTTGATTTCTAGCCACAATGGTCTCCTCCCAGTACTCCCATAGCACTTGGGCCCCACAGTCACTGTACTTGGGCACTGATCGCTCAGTGTCTAGCTTTGAGTTTTTTCCAGCTTTATTTCCTATTCCAGCCAGTAGTAAGTTTAAAGTGCAGCCCTTCAAGGTGATCACAGAGCACAAAGTCATTTTCAGCTATTAGGGATGGCTTGGACTGCTATCAAGATGGATGCACATTTTTTTTTCTACATTCTTTGTTTCAGGGAATGTGAACTTCTCAGTCTGTGCAGAGGCGGTGCAGTCCCCAGAGCTGTGTGGAAATGAGGTTGCTGAGGTCCCTGAGATTGGGAGAAAAGAAACAGTCGTCAAAATCCTGTTGGTGGAGGTAAGTCGGTCTGGACCACTTCAGTATTTTTCTGAGACCCTAACAATAGTAACAGTGAGAAACAGTATGGCCATATTCTTGAGCTAACAAAGAATTAATACCGTACCCACACAATCCACCTGATAAGACTAATGGAATTTCCTGTCCTAAAAGTATTATAGTAAAATTTTTAGCTAACCTTGTTAGCTTATCATAAATACTTTTTCTCATGAATGATTTCAGAGCTAGTCCCTTTTCCTGACTTCTTCATCTCTTCTAAGTTTCATTTACTTCTCACACTTTGTACCTTTGATTCTCTTTCCTTATTATCCCTCATTTTCTCCTCTGCTGGTCTCCATGGTTCTTCAGAGTTTTATGGATTTATAGTAATTTGATAATAAGTAGGATGTTAAGATTGTTTAGTGTAAACCCCACCCTTCAAAGCAATGAATCTGCAGTTGTCCTTCAAAAACCTGGACGTTTATCCCTTTTCTTTTTTTTTTTCACTTGAGCCTGAAGGTATTGAACAAGAAAAGACTTTCAACTCTATGACTTGCACTTCTGGTAAGAGTCCATCTTCATAATCATAGTGAGAATAATGCCCCACAGGGATATGTATGTCAAGTTACAATGCATGTCCCTACATTTTATCTCCCTTTATCTTTAGAATGTTCCCTTAAATTTGGCATAGCAATAAGTATTTCTTTATATGCATTTTACACAAGAGGACACTGAGCCCAAGGGTGTGGGTAAATGCGGCTTAGGGGTGCAGACAAGACTAATACTTGCTCAGTTCACATTTAGCCTTTACCTCCATAGCCCAGGGGCTGCTCATGAACCAATAAGGATATAGTAGCTTAGAGTGTCATAATCTAGGTAGAAAGACAGCAGAGTCATTATAAGATTGAATGACAGTGATATTCTCTAAAACAGTTGATGATGAAATGGGGGTCACTTTGTATTCATCTTACTGAAAAAAATGTTTCATGGAAAAAAAAAACACTTTACATTAGGGCTTTATCATATCATTAAGAAACAACTGTAGCTTTTAAGTTACATTGCCACATTAGTATTAGTTCTACATTTGTAGTGTATATGACACTGTTCTTGTCTTTCAAGAAGGACCAATTTAAAGTATAAAATCAGAGAACAATAAAATCAGAGAATTAGACAATCAGATCAAAGAACTATATGCCCCACCAGTTCCCAAGCTTCGTTTAGAGAGAGCCACCATGCACAGCTACCCAGAACATAGTAAAGTGAGACGGGAAAGGACTCTGGAAGTCATTCTGTGCCAAGAAGAGCTGGACAATTAAAGGTGATCTCATCATAAGCCAGAGTCCTTATTCCTCGGACCCAGGGTTCCTGAAGGAGACATAATAATACCGCTAAATATAATAATAACCATAATAATAACTGCTCCCATGTATGCAGACTTCACATGTTGCAGAGGCTATTCTAATGCACACATGTTTTACATGCATTCTTCCACTGAATCAGCACATGAGCAAGTTAGACTATGAGGAGGTTAAGTAATGTGTCCAAGGTACAGAGCTAGTAAGTGTGGCTCTGAAGCCCCCTCCCAACCACTACATTGTATTGCTATAAGAGATGTCATACTTTGGTATGGGTTGTCTGTTTCCAAAGGTACTGAAATATCTGAGCAGTTATGTGGTCAAAGAATGTGGTCAAAGAATCTGCCAGAGCCTCTTTCTCAGTTTTGGGTAAGTCATCTTACACCCGGGAAACTCGGGACAAAAGAGCAGCCATCATACATCTGAATCTGTATACATATATCTATGTATTTGTGGGGTTTTTTAAAGATTTATTTATTTATTTGAGAGAGAGAGTAGGGGGAGGGGCAGAGGGAGAGAATCTTCAAGCAGACTCCCCGCTGAGCATGGAGTCTGATGCGCGGCTTACAACCCTGAGATCATGACCTGAGCTGAAACCAAGAGTCAGATGCTCAACTCACTGAGCCACCCAGGTGCCCCAATATTTGTGTTTTAAATCTCAATTTATTAATAGCATCTATTTCTATTAGAATTCTGGAAGTCTCACTCTCTAAATATAAATTTCTTCTTGCCTAAATGATTGTGTCCATGACTCTAAATATGAAAATAATTTGTCTTTAATAATGTTGGTCTACTTAGGGGCTGAAATTACTCTGACATTTAATCTTTCACATCCCCTAGGTGACATACTGGGTTCTGCTGTGCACAATATACAGAATCTCCTCCAGATGCCCTATGGCTGTGGAGAACAAAACATGGTCCTGTTTGCTCCTAACATCTATGTCTTGAACTATCTGAAAGAAACCCAACAGTTGACTCCAGAGATCAAGTCCAAGGCCCTTGGCTATCTTACCAGTGGTGAGTCAAAGAAAAGTTTACTCTGTTACTCTGAGACTTTTCCCGATTAAACTTGAATTATATTACCAGATATTAAGCTAATGATGGTGATTTTTGTGAAAATGACAATTTTCCCACCATTTAATAGGATGTTGTGTTGTGACATATCCATAGTGTTCCTAAAACTATGTCAGATAAGAGACCATACGATGTCTGTGGCTTCTGGATGCATCAGCCTGCACCTATGGGTGGCCTGCCTTTTTCTTTTTTTTTTTTTTTTTTTAAGATTTTATTTATTTGAGACAGAGAGAATGAGAGACAGAGAGCATGAGAGGGAGGAGGGTCAGAGGGAGAAGCAGACTCCCCGCCGAGCAGGGAGCCCGATGCGGGACTCTATCCTGGGACTCCAGGATCATGACCTGAGCCGAAGGCAGTCGCTTAACCAACTGAGCCACCCAGGCGCCCGGCCTGCCTTTTTCTAACACTTCTTGAACTACTTGAACCTTTCATTCCAGGTTACCAGAGACAGCTCAACTACAACCACCAAGATGGTTCCTATAGCACCTTTGGGGAACAATATGGAAGGAACCAAGGTAACAGTTGGTAAGAAAAGAAAATCTATTCTGAGTTTCAACTATGAATTCACAGCACGTACATATATTAGCCTATTTAATTCTTAAAACAATCCTGTCAAGTGAGAGCTATTCACTTCTTTTTACAAAGGAGGAAATGACATTCAGCATGGATAAATAAATGTCTCTGGTATAAACAACTAATAAATGGCAGAACTGAGAACACTTGGAAGTTGAATCTTTTTACATCTAATACACCAAGCATCTTTTCTTTCTCATGTTCCTAAGGGACCATTGTAAGTTAGTGATTTTCCCTCTTAAGTTTTTTCTCAGCACTGAGAGATGCTAGAAATGGGCTAGAAAAACTAAGTGTACTTTACTACCTTGTACTAGATGACTCTGTGTGTGTGTGTGTGTGTGTCTCTCTCTCTCTCTGTTTATCCATCCGTCTGTCTTCTGTCTCTCCATCCATCAGTCTATCCATCCATCCACCCCATCTATCTACCTGTCTGTCCATCTGCTCATCTATCTCTCTATGTATCTATCTGTCTTGAATAAGTCTGACCACACAGGAAAACAAGTGTAAATCAATGACCCAGAAAGTGGTGGAGGGGCTGGGTGATGTGGAGGGAAATATTTACTGAAGCAAGACATTCAAAGTAGTTAGTTCATTAGAGTATTAGCTGCAGAAGAGAAGATAAGAAATCTGTGAAAAAGAAATAAATACAGAAAGCCCAGAATGTGAGAGCAAATATCATAACAACCCAAGAACACTAGGAGACATCTGAATCTCTAAAGTGACACAGAAATGCTTTAGGTAGCAGGGACCAATTGGTAATGTATTTAACAACATGTTGTAGCTAAGCAAAAAGAATATGGAAGCTGCCAGGTTAACAGAAATAGTCTCCAAACTCTTAGTGATAGCTCACTGACTCTCATGAGGGTGCACTGGGGGGAAAAGGAGTCTATGTGTGTGAAACAGTGTTAGGGTGCAGTATGGAAAACAGCACCCCACTCTTCCTCACCCTTCAGGCTCACGGCCTTTGTACTGAAGACTTTTTCCCAGGCTCGAACCTACATCATTATCGATGAAGCACACATCACCCAAGCCCTCATGTGGCTCTCCCAAAGGCAGAAGGACAATGGCTGTTTCAGGAGCTCTGGGTCACTCCTCAACAATGCCATTAAGGTGAGGTGTTCTGAGTACTTATCCTGAACCTCATGATACACCAATACTAACATTCCTCCAAAGGTGAGGGGAGAAGGAAGGCACAGAGAAATTGCAAAGATGAAGTCCAGCAGTGTGAGAGGGCATCAGGGAAGGAATATAATATTAAACCTGAAAATTATAGAGGAGAAAGAAACGGTGCTTTGCATGAGGATGTTATTTTGCTTAATAGAGACAGATCCTGAGAAGGGTCCCCATGAAACAGCAGTAGAGAATATACTAAAATTTGAGAGTAGAATTAATAAAAATTCCCTCTCTCTCTCTCTCTCTCTCTCCCCTCCCCACCCCCCACCCCACAGGGAGGAGTAGAAGATGAAGTGACCCTCTCAGCCTACATTACTATTGCTCTTCTGGAGATTCCTCTTCCAGTCACTGTAAGGTTCACCTCAATCCCATTTCCTACCATGGAACCTACAGGCCTGATGTCTGGAACACCACCTACTACAAGCCAAGTCTCAACTTTCCTTTTGCTCAATGCTGAGGCATTTCTCAGCTAGATAAGCTCTTCAATTAATCCACTAGAGGGAACTTATACTTGCTTAGCCATGCCCTTGGACTATGTACCAAAACTAATCCAAAAACCACAGGCTCACTAGTCTTATTCTTTTAAGACTTAACGATAAAGCTAAGAGATTTAAAACATTTTTTTCAATTTCAATATCGTGGCTATCTGGCTGTCTACCTGGCTGGCTGACAACCACAAATGACTTCTGTCAAACAATATCCAACTCAGGGTTTCCTCCATCCTCTACTTACCCTAATCTGACATCATTACCTCTTTGTCCTTGCAGCACCCTGTTATTCGCAATGCCCTGTTCTGCCTGGAGACTGCCTGGAACACAGCAAAGGAGGGGACACGTGGGAGCCATAGCTACACCAAGGCATTGTGGGCCTATGCTTTTGCTCTAGTGGGAAACCAGGATAAGAAGAGAGAAATACTGAACTCTCTTGATGAGGAAGCTGTGAAAGAAGGTGAGAGAAAATGGTAAAAAATTTCCCCTTTCATTTACACTGATACTACAAAAAGGAGGGTTATATTTCCAACGAAAGTAACAAGCTTCATCTGGAATTCCTTAGCCAACTCGTATATTGTGAAATCAGAGCACCTCTTGTAAAAATGTCTTCTTGAGTGTCTGGGTGGCTCAGTCAGTTAAACTTCTGACTCTTGATTTCGGCTTAGGTTTGTGGGATCGAGCCCCATGTCAGGCACCCCACTCAGCAGGGAGTCGGCTTGAGATTCTCCCTCTCCCTCTGCCCCTCCCCTCATGCTCCCTCTAATTTAATTTATATATACTTCACATGGTATCTGTCTCCCTACTTGGATGAAAAGAGGCACAACCGGGCGCCTGGGTGGCTCAGATGGTTAAGCGTCTGCCTTCGGCTCAGGTCATGATCCCAGCGTCCTGGGATCGAGTCCCGCATCGGGCTCCCTGCTCCTTGGGAGCCTGCTTCTCCCTCTGCCTCTCTCTCAATCTCTCTGTCTCTCATGAATAAATAAATAAAATCTTAAAAAAAAAAAAAAAAGAAAAGAGGCACAACCAAAAACCATACTAAAGGAAGTGAAATAACATTTCCAAAGTGTTTTTATCCCTATTTGCCAGAGATTATCACAAAAGTCCTCTGAGATCAATAGGTAGGTTTTATATTCCAATTTATTCTTCAGTTTCCAGGAAATATCTCTCCAGAGAACTCTCTCTGTCACTTTTCCCTTCCCCTGACTCAATTAAAATAATATTTGAGAAACTGATAAAGATGCTCTATGCTTCCTCCTTCAACAACATTCTTCAACTTATCCCCACAAGACTAAGCCAACTTTAGCATGGAAATGTGAGTTAGTGAATTTGCAGGGCTTATGACAGAGAGGACGTTACTTCTCTGTACTATCTTCGGCTCCATATGATACAAATGTGTATTCACGTATCATCTACTGGTAATTAGGATTCTCTCCTTTTTCTCACCCGTAAGATAACTCAGTCCACTGGGAGCGACCTCAGAAACCCAGGGCACCAGTGGGGCATTTTTACCAACCCCCAGCTCCCTCAGCTGAGGTGGAAATGACATCCTATGTGCTCCTGGCTTACCTCAAGGCCCAGCCTGCCCCGACCTCAGAGGAGCTGACTTCCGCCTCGCGCATCATGAAGTGGATCACAAAGCAACAGGATTCCCAGGGGGGCTTCTCCTCCACTCAGGTCTGTGTTTCCCAAATAGTCTTCTCAAGACTCTAGATTCACATGGCACATGGGAAAGCTTGAAAAACACAACAGTTAACAAGGAAAAGAGAAGAGACCATTACATCTTGGGAGAGTTATTTAGGGATATTTGAAGGCAGTGGGAATATGAAGTAAAGAGATCTAAGACATTCCCCAAAAACACTTTTCCCTAAGAACTATGTTAACATCCTATCAATTTGATTACTTACCATAAACATCATTCCTCTCTAAAGCTTATACACATTGGTCATTGGCCACACTCTAGGGTTTTTGAATATCACTGCTCTTGACATTTTGGGTCAGATAATTACTGTTGTGAGGGGCTGTCCTGGATCCTTAAGATGTTTAGCAGCACCCCTGTTCTCTCTCCACTAGATGCCAATAACACCCTGCTCCCAGTTGAGACAAGGTAAAATCGCTCTTGGTTAAGAATCAGTGTTCTAGGGGCACCTGGGTGGCCTAGTCACCTGAGCCTCCAACACTTGATTTCAGCTCAGGTCATGATCTCAGGGTCATAAGATCAAGCCCCATATCGAGCTCCACACTTAGCCAGAAGTCTGCTTAGGATTCTCTCTCCCTCTCCCTATGCCCCTCCCCCACCTCAAATAAATAAAATAAATCTTAAAAAAAAAAAAAAGAATCAGTGTTCTAGGCTCCAGACTACATCTGTAGGATTCTTCCAACAAGAAATCCTCTAAGGTGAGCCAGAAAATTGTACGATTAAAAGGAAAGTGGACCAAGTAGAGTTCATGTTGATCTTCATAGAATGATTGAGAAGTCCTGTTCAGGCTCTCCAATCCTTTCTACCTGCCCAGTGAACTCCCTTCTGACTTCCCCTTTAAACTGATTTTTTTTTCAAAGCTGAAGTTCTTGGAATTTTCCTTTTGTGCTAAACATCCAGAGAGTCTGGGTTTTTGCTCCTATAATCCTCTTTCAATATTTAGGATGGACATAGTAAAACTTCTCTTTTTCAGAGAAATTAGGTGCAGGGAATGAAAATAAGCTGTATAAAAAAGGAAAAGAGAGTTGGGAAAGTTCAACTGTCTCATATCACCACTCATCACCAATTTCTCTCACTCTTCTATCTACATTAACACCAGTCACTCTTTTTCCTAACTTGCTAATTTTCAACCCAATTTTTTTTTTTAGATTTTATTTATTTGACAGAGAGAGACAGCTAGAGCAGGAACACAAGCAGGGGGAGTGGGAGAGGGAGAAGCAGGCTTCCCGCTGAGCAGGGAGCCCGATGTGGGGCTCAATCCCAGGACCCTGGGATCATGACCTGAGCCAAAGGCAGACGCTTGATGACTGAGCCGCCCAGGTGCCCCTCAACCCAATTTTTAAAAGATACAGCCAAGAGGACTCTTGATAAGAAAGAGCAGGCTGCAACTTCCAGATAGAGAGAATAATCCCTTAGGACAAAATCAATATAAGGGAAAATAAATGGCAAGGCTAATTGGCATCAATAATCTTGTATTTCATTTGCAGAAACAATAGCATAACTTTGATGATGCCTAAAGGTAGAGAAGAGGGAAAAACAATGAGTAGGTGTATACTTCAGGGGGAAAAAGCCAGCCTCCCCTGTGGTAACCAACACAGACTTTGGTGGAAAATCCCTGCTACCAAAAACTTACTCTGTGGCGGTGGGTTCTCCACTTGTCTTTTCCAGGACACAGTGGTGGCTCTCCAGGCTTTAACCAGATATGGAACAGCCACCTTCACCGGGACTGAGAAAGCTGCCCAGGTGACCATCCAGAATTCACAGGCATTTGTCACAAATCTCCAAGTGGACAACAGCAACCTCCTGTTGCTGCATCAGGTCTCATTGCCAGAGCTGCCTGGGGAATATTCCATAACAGTGACGGATGTGTGTATCTTCAGGTGAGACTCTTGAAATTTTAACCTTATCAAATGAAAAGGGAGCTCTGATCTCTCTTTCTTGGACAAATGAAGGGCAAATCGGGAGAAGTTGAATGATGGAAAAGTGAGGAGCCCCAGGTAAGGAGAGAGACTGATGCTGTGCTTGCTGTTCCACAGACATCCGTGAAATACAATATTCTTCCAGAGAAGGAGGACTCCCCATTTGCCTTGAAGGTACAGACTGTACCCCATACTTGTGATGCACCCAAAGTTCACACCAACTTCCAGATCTCACTGAATGTCAGGTAAGACTTCCGACTGAACCACCTAATGCTGAGTCTAAAAGCTACCTGGAACCTTCAGTAATTAAGAATATATTTGGAACCTTTGCTGTTAGGTGAATGTAATTTAAAATTGATATATCTACTAATGAAGTTAGCCTTGTATCATTACATAGTGATCCTTTTCTCTAGCAATTTTTTTGTCTTAAAGTTTCAGTAATACTTTATTTTTTTAAGATTTTTTTATTTATTTTTTGACAGAGAGGGAGACAGCAAGAGAGGGAACACAAGCAGGGGGAGTCGAAGAAGCAGGCTTCCTGCGGAGCAGGGAGCTCGATGCCCGGCTTGATCCCAGGATCCTGGGATCATGACCTGAGCCGAAGGCTGATGCTTAACGACTGAGCCATCCAGGCACCCCTCAGTAATACTTTAAAAGTATTTAAAAGCAAAGTTGGTCTTAAACTTTCAAATAAAAAAATGTAGACTCTTCAAATGTTCTAATAAATTCCTACTTTTACACTAATTTTTGTTCAACTCAATGCTGAAGAATAAATTACTTTCCACAAAGATTTTTATTTTAGGTTGAATTAAGTCTTCCTTACCTTTTCTGAATAATTAAATTCTATTTTATTATTTTTCTAATCAAATATATAAATAGCAAATGCTAATATTAAATAGAGGTATAAATTAAATATAAAATATAGAAATTACCCTATAATAGCCCATCAAAAACTTATAGGAATTTGGGGCACCTGGGTGGCTCAGTCAGATGAGCATCCAACTCTTGGTTCAGGTCATTATCTTGAGGTTGTGAGATCTAGCCTTGTGTCAGGCTCCGTACTCGGCACAGAGTCTGCTTCAGATTCTCTCTCCCTCTGCACCCCTGCCCCCTGCTCGTGCATGCTCTCTCTCTAAAATAAATAAATAAATTTTCATTAAAAAAAATAGGAATCCTAAGAAAACATAGCAGCATATAATACTATGTATCTACAACTAATGATACTGATATTGTAAAACAAATCATGTTTCAGACAGCCAACCTAATTAGTAAACATCAATTTATTCAAAGTATAAAGTATAAGTCTATCTGATCTCACAACACTTTGAAGCCTCTTTGGAAACATGCTGCATTCAAGTTAACTAAAAATAGAAAAGTAGGGCGCCTGGCCTGGGTGGCTCAGTCGTTAAGCGTCTGCCTTTGGCTCAGGTCATGATCCCAGAATCCTGGGATCGAGCCCCCAATCAGGCTCCCTGCTCAGCGGGAAGCCTGCTTCTCCCTCTCCCACTCCCCCTGCTTGTGTTCCCTCTCTTGCTGTGTAGCTCTCTGTCAAATAAATAAATAAAATCTTTAAAAAAAAAAAAAAAAGAAAAGTAGGGCGCCTGGGTGGCTCAGTTGGTTAAGTGACTGCCTTCGGCTCAGGTCATGATCCTGGAGTCCCGGGATCAAGTCCCGCATCTGGCTCCCTGCTCAGCGAGGAGCCTGCTTCTCCCTCTAACCCTCCCCCCCTCATGTACTCTCTCTCTCTCTCTCATTCTCGCTCTCTCAAATAAATAAATAAATCTTTAAAAAAATTAAAAAGTAATACCTACTAAATAACAAATGTATAGTATAAATGGAGTGTCCAAAAATTGGCAATGTGTTAATGAATGCAGATTACCAAGCTCCATTCTCAGAGACTCTGATTTGATAGTTTTGGATTGGGACCTAAACATCTATGATTTTAGTAAGCCATAGATCTGATGTACATTCAGGGTTCCAAACATCGTCATACATGTCCAAGGAACAGAGATTTCTAGGAGTTATAATGTTATAGAAAACTTCATGATGATAGGCAACATTTATGGTAGGTCTTAAAAGACGGACTCTGGCTTTCTTTCACATACAAAGCCCTTACTCCTTTTTCCTTTGACACTACAGTTACACCAATATGATGATTGTTGATGTGAAGATGGTGTCTGGTTTTATCCCCTTGAAACCAACAGTAAAAATGGTAGGTGTATTTTAAGCCTAATAGATCTCATACAAAAGGATGCTCTGTATCTTCAAACTAAGACCATACCAATATCAAAGCCTTATCAATAGCAACCTGCCTCACGAAATCTTTTTCCCAAACCCAGAAAATTCAATTCAATAATTGCTTATTTGTCTCTAAGCTGAGGGACTTGTATGATACTAGAGAAACACGAGAGGAGTCCCTGTCCTTGAGCCATCCACAGTCTAGTTAGGGATTTAAAGCACATAGGCATGAAACCTTATTTTACCATCACAATGCTAGAAAGACAGACTATGATTAAGTACCAAATTGGCTGATATGCTCTAAAAAATTTGGCAATGATAAAGTCAATATGAACTGGAATCATCACAGATGTGAGAGGGTCTAATGTGTTACCTGGATACTGAAGCATGGTGGAAAGCCTGATCTGAAAATACCTGGCTACCGTCTCTTCATAGAAAGCCAGAAGATTTTTTTCACAGTCAAGACATGACAATGTTGATGCCTGTATCCAAATCTGATTCTTCCCCCTCACCCATCTTTTATATCTTTAATGTACCCTGGCTATTTAACCATGAAAATGATTTATAGGAATCCTACTCCTGACATCATTTGGACATTTGTCCCTTACTACAATCTGCTCTCATTTTCTAACTTTTTAAATTTTCTAATTTTCCTCAGCTTGAAAGGTCCAGCCATGTGAGCAGGATAGAAGTAAGCAATAACCATGTCCTCATTTATGTGGAACAGGTAAGAGCTCTGACATTTTGGCTGACACTATACATACTGGTGATCTTTTTAAGGGAATCTCTCCACTAGAAAATAAGTAGTATGAGGAAAGCGGTAATTAATAGCACTCTTCCAGAAAGTTCCTTTATTCTAAGAGAATAAAAATCTCCTTTTAGACCCATGGAGTCTTTTGTTCTCTTTTATTATGTTAAAACTGGAAAATGAGAATTTCTATGAACTAGAACAAAAGGTTTATTGTGTCTGTTATTTTAAAGACCTCCCACAAAAGAATAAATATACCACATGGTGGTTGATCAATGATACTGTAAACATTCTAATATATCACTATGTAAGAGAATATAAAATGTAGACCTCATGAATATCTTCAAATCTGACTATAAAGCAAAGGGAGTGATTTATCTAAGCACACAAAAAGACTAGTTTAATAATTACAAATGGTACAAAGCTAAGTCTCTGCATCTTAGAAACCATTCCCATGGGCCCAAAGAGTTAATCTCATACAGAAGACTACAAGAGAATATGGATTGTCTCAGTTGTTTAAGAGAAAATCGGGGGAATTTTGTTCATGGTAAAGTGTTTCCAAAGTTTTGTTTAAAGCAGATCTTGGGAGCACCTGGGTGGCTCAGGTCGTGATCTCAGGGTCATGAGATCCAGCCCCACACTGCGCTTCAGGCTCAGTGGGGAGTCTGCTTGGGACTCTCCCTCTCCCTTTGCCCCTCCCCCTGCTCACACGCACTCTCTCTTTCTCTCTCTCTCTCTCTCTCTCGCTCTAAAATAACTGAATAAATATTTTTAAAAATAAAAAAATAAAACCCATCTTGTCATCCATAAATGTTTGCTCACCTAAAAGACACTAGTGCATAAGAATCTGAGAACCATAAAGAATATAATTTACTCAAGGAAGAGGGAAGGAGGCTTTCTAGCCTGTTCATTACTCCCACTTTTCCTCTTAGGTAACAAATCAGACACTCAGCTTTTCCTTCATGGTTCTGCAAGACATCCCAGTAAGACACCTCAAGCCAGTGACTGTTAAAGTCTATGATTACTATGAGACAGGTAAGTCAAAGGAAACTGAAGCAACTAAAGAATCTCAACCCAGAGCCAAGAAATGGATTCTGTTGTTACAGTAGATCCTATTTTAGTCCATTCAGTCAGTAGTACATCTATTTGTCTCTTTGCTCTGAGATACATAGTGTAGAAACTATGAATGGAACAAATTTATCAGTATCTATGGAGTCAGAAACTTAGAAATTTAAAAAGAAAGATAACATTTGGTCCCTGCTCTCAAATAGTTTAGAGACATAGAGAATGTAATACACATAAAAAGATAATGTAACAAGAAAAAGCAGTTTATGACAAATGAGTGTTAGAATATAGATATTTTAACTATCCTGTTCAACACTTGTGTATTTATGCAGTTTTGACAATCCTGATATGATGTACTTTTCTTCAAAAGTAAAGTGAACAAACTTAATATGGGCTCCAGTTTATAGATATCTTTTTTTTCTCTCCTTTCATCCAACAGTTCTTTCAGATGAGTCGGCCATTGCTGAGTACATCACCCCCTGCAGCGTAGTTAAGAGGTCACACGCCAGGACCACCATCATTCCACATTAACTACACTCCCTAAACTTTCTTCTAAATTTAAAATTCTCTACAAGTCTCCTTCTAGCCCCAAGACAGTCCATAGGGCACATTCTCACACAAAGAGAATACTGGAGAAGAGCACTTACTCTGTAGGTAGACTCCAATAGCAGATATTCACACCATTATCAGTAAAGTCAATAAGTGTTGTTTGCTTGTTTGTTAGTAGGATAGCTATCGTTAAGAGGCAACATTTTACATCACAGCTGATTTGTTTCCTTCAGACAAAGTCTAGCCCAACATCTATTTTTGTAAATGAAGTTTTTATTGGAACAGAGCCATGCTCATTACATTATTTTCAATAGCTGCTTTCAAAAGTTGAGTAGCTATGATGTAAGCCACATGGTCTGCAATGTCCAAAATATTTACCATGTGGCCTCACAGCAAAGTGTGCCAACCTCTGTTCTAGCCCACTCTGCTGCCCAGGCTCAACTGAGGGAATATTCCTGAGGAAACCCTACAACCTTCCTATGTTTCTCTTTTCTCCATAGATGCAGAGCACAGCAATGTTTGAGGACCATATTTAAGCTACATATTTTGCCGGATTCCCTGTCTTGTACTTCTATTTAAAAGAAATGGAGTTGTTTGTCTCTGTGAAACAGACTTCAAAAAAGCTTGTTGAATAAACATGTGTTTCTGGTCAGGCTATCATTTGTTCAATCACTTACTTATCAAATATTAATTACATGTTCACATAAAGAGTTCTATTATTTTAAATAATGTGAAGACTACAGATGTGTAACAAATCTACTTATAGTTCAGCTGTGGATATTAGATATAAAGTCAAATGGAAAAACTTACAATAGTTTTGAGAGACCTCAAGAAAAAACTCATCCATTGGTCTAGGAAACCTTTGCTTAGAGAGAGATAAGTAAGTTGTATTGATTAGTAACTAGGAAGGCATAAATATTTTTTGAGAGGAAACCGGAAATATTAGTCTTTGTCCCTAAGCTAAGACATCAAAAATGGACTTCACAAGAGACTAAAATGATTGGAGTAAAAGAATGTGTTGGAGACAGGCAGTATTGTGCAGTGATTAAAGTCTAGACGCAGGGGCCAGATTGCCTAGAGACAAATTCAGACTCTATCCATGCCTCACCAACTGAGTAAGGAGGGCAGTTACTTAACCTCTCTGCTTCAGATTCCTCACAATGAAATGGGAATAACAGACCCTCCCTCAAAGTATTGTATGAGGATAAACTATTCTCATGGGAGAGGGGAAAGAGAAATAGCTGAATCAAGCAAGGGCTCTTAAAGCTTTGGCTAAAATAAAAAGTATATAACTTCCATTTGTATTCTATTGGCTAAAGCAAATCACATGACCAAACCAAACTTTAATGGGGCACTCATTCAGTATGTTCTCACTTCCCTTCATGGGAAAAATCACAGGCCATGGGGGTCTCTCCTGGCACCAAACTGTGCCACCTTCGGGGAAGGTGATGAAGGCAAAGTAAAAATATTCCTCTTACCCTCTTCAATGCATCTATTCTTGGAAATCCCACACACACACACACAGTGTGTTGGGACTTCCCCACTGGACTCTCCAACTCCCCCAGGGTACTCTCATCCATAACTGCTAAAATCAATGTTCTGTGGGGGGTGATGGTGCAGAACTCTGATGTCCCCTCTCATTTTCAGCCCTACCGTGGGTTTCTTCCTGTCTTCAACATTCTTTAAATGGGTGATTGGGAAGAGAAAAGGAGGGAAATGGACTTACATTTGATTCAGAAGCCAAATTATCTTTCAGTTGCTGTCCCCTTAAAGAAAGAATTCTCAACTCACAAATATTTTTGAGGAGGAATTTTGTCTATTTACTTTTTATTTTTAACTTATGTGGGTCTTCTCCTCTCCCTCCTCCTCCTTCTCCCCCACCTCCACTTCCCCTTGCTCCTCCTTCTCCCCCTTCTTCTCTTCTCCGTTCCCCTCTTCTACCCCCTTCCCCTCCTCCTCCCCTTCCTCTTCCTCCACCTCCTCCTCCTTCTTCTTCTTCAGAAAATCAAATATTGATGTAATTTTATATTAGCATAGTATTTTAAACATCTCAGAGACTTTTCTAAATATCTCATTTTATCTAAACCATTTTACAACTCATAATGAAATAATGTATCTAGGTCTTGAACACCAACAATTGCTAACATCACAAAGAGAAATAATAGACATTCTGTGCATCCTGGTGGATGAATATAATATTTCCTATGAAGTAGCATTGCAAAAAAATTAAATCTAATTCTCTGTTCCTGAGAAAAAGCTAAGAAACAGTATGAAACGATTCTGCTTGGCCTTCCTCAGAATCAAAGGCACAGTGTTTCAAAAGGGAAAATTTAGAAGTCTTTAAAGATGACCCAAAAGATCTGAGCCCAAATGAATGTGAGAATTTTGTGAGAAACAAGAGGTTTCTCAATCACAAGGATTAGATGGGACAACGAGAGGGAGGACAGAAGGGCAGGTCAGCCAGGAATCTAAGAAATCCTCTCCTTAATCCAGACCACTTTTTGATTTCACCTTAGGTTTTCCAAAGAGAAACGAGTAAACTGTGCACTAATCCCTTCATTCAAATGATTCAGGTAGTGCTATTTTATCACTATGAATTTTGATCCCTTTCTTATGAGGCCAAGTATTGCTGATCCATTTTCACATAAGGAATGGGAGAAGTAATAAATAGAGATTAACACATTTTTCCAACATTTCACTACTCCCAGAAAAAGAGGTAAGTCTCTTAATGCTAGTGCTCTTAATTAAATCCTGGGATTAAAATTCCATATTTCTAGGATCATAATTTTGCTTGCAGAAGCAGGAAGAATATATGTGTGGGCAGTAATAGCATTATCAAATAGAGACCAAAGAAGAAATTGAGGGGGAGGGTAATTTTATCCACTCCTGTATAAGAAAATCATAACATGGGAGCCTAGCACCAGAAGTCTTTGCATGTTTTTATCCAATATGTGAGGTATGGAGATGTATATGTAAAAATGGAAATTACCAAAATTATAAATAGACTGTTTTCCCTTCCTTTATCTTTTCCTTTCTCTTTTTTTAAAAAGAATATATATATATATATATATATATATATATGCACATACCTGAATTGAAACTATACATGCTCATTTTTCTTTCAAAATATGTGAAATATTTCTCAGTTTCCCAGCTTCCTTCCCTGAATAACATGGAAGGATAACTTATTGAAACATCAACTGGTGTTTTGTTTTCACTTCTAAAAAAAGGATTTGGGAAGAATGTGGTCTGTGCTGATCCTAATCCCTTGTTTTCCCTTCCCTATTTCAAAAGTGTAGCCAAGCCTTAGGAATTTTCAAGGTTAGAAGCAGAGGTTACTTAAAGATCTTTGTGAAAGCCCTGACTACTGAGCAAATTACTTACTCTAGGTGCTCCTGAAGAAAAGGAGAAAGAAGTTTTTTGCAGGAAGGGAAGAGTAGAAACCCAGTTGGCAGGGAGAATCCAAAACCAGGAGTTGGGTGGAGGTTTGTGTGACCCAAGATAGTGGAATCTCCCTCATTGCACTCAAGAGAAAAGACAAGGCCTCTGAGTTAAATGGCTATATGAGGCCCACTCTGAGCCACAGAGCTCTCAGTGTCAGCAAACATTCTCACACCCAAAACTAGCATAGAAGCAGCCAAGCAGTCAGCCTTCCAAGGTAGCTAAGGGGTTGGACAATGACATGGTCATATCAGGAGTTGCCATTTCAAGCAAACACTAAAGCAATCTTCCCATTTTGCTTTACAAATCCCGGTGTGAGAAAAGCTCTCATAAAAACTAAGATTAATTCTCACCCAGCAATTTGGAAGAATGGAAGTAAAATTGGATTTAATTCAACATAAAAAAAAAGAATGTTATATTTCTTGAATGCCACAGTTTGTGGTTCCTAATTCATATCTGCTACAGCAATAAGTATTCTTAAAACTATGCCAACACTTCTATTTTCTTACCCCTGAAAGTTGAAAATTCTTATTCTTATTTACCATTATTGTGAAACCACTGTGACTAATTCAGGGTATAGCAAAAAGTAGTCAATTTCCTTCCTTCCTTCCTTCCTTCCTTCCTTCCTTCCTTCCTTCCTTCCCTCCTTCCTTCCCTTTATTTCTAAGTAGTTACTTTTCTTGAGGTATGACTGACATACAAAAAAGCCACACTTATTTCATGTCTACATCTTGATGAGTTTGAAGATAAGTATATACTTATGAAACCATCACCAGATACAATGCCATAAATGTAACCATCATCAGTTTCTTCCCTCTTTTTTGATAAGAACATTTAACATAAGATGTACTCTTTTAAGAAACTTTTTATGGACAGCCACATGTAGAAGAATGAAACTGTACCATTTTCTTACACCCAACACAAAGACAAACTCAAAATGGATGAAAGACCTAAATGTGAGACAGAATACATCAAAATCCTAGAGGAAAACACAGGCAGCAATCCCTTTGACCTCAGCCACAGCAACTTCTTGCTAAACACATCTCCAAAGGCAAGGGAAACAAAGGCAAAAATGAACTACTAGGACTTCATCAAGATAAAAAGCTTTTGCACAGCAAAAGAAATAGTCGGCAAAACCAAAGACAACTGACAGAATGGGAGAAGATTTCTGCAAATAACATATCAGATAAAGGGTTAGTATCCAAAATTTATAAAGAACTTATTAAACTCAACACCCAAAGAACAAATAATCCCTCAAGAAATGGGCAGAAGACATGAACAGACATTTCTGCAAAGAAGACATCCAAATGGCCAGCAGACACATGAAAAAGTGCTCAACATCTCTCGGCATCAGGGAAATACAAATCAATAACACAATGAGATACCACCTCACACCAGTCAGAATGGCTAAAATTAACAAGTCAGGAAACGACAGATGTTGGCGGGGATGCGGAGAAAGGGAAACCCTCTTGCACTGTTGGTAGGAATGCAAGTTGGTGCAGTTACTCTGGAAAACAGCATGGAGGTTCCTCAAAAAATTA